GTGCTTTCGTGCCTTTTTGTAATATTTATCATTGCAAAATGGCGGTCATCTGACTACGGACCAAAGGCTTTTTTTCCCATATTCGTCCATCTGCTTTTCAGTGATGGAACAGGCAAAGATCCTTAGACTGTACAGCCTAGTCTATTTTTAAACAGGACTAAATATATAATTATAGGTTTTGATAATTTATAAATATTAAACGTTCCAAAATTAAATCTCAGGAATAAAAAATAAAATTTGAAAAGAAAGTGAAACATGTCATTCACCCGCGTTATGACGCCCGAAAGAGTGAAAAAAAAAAATATCACTCACGATTACGCGCGCTGGATTTCCCGCGTTCCTGATCACGCGTGAAAAAACATGTCGTATAAATTCGTTGTTAGTGCAATCAATTCAATATATCAAGTGATGTAAATAATTTATTTACCATTCCTAATTAGACCAGGCAAAACTATATTAATAAATTAAAAAAAAAACAAAAATATTGTATTTGTACGGACAAACGAGAAATTATGGATGGATTTAAATTATCACAATACGCTAAGCTAGACTGCGTGAAAACCCTAATGGACCAGGGTTACGGAAGATTGCTCACGCTTTCACGTAATTCTGACAAAAGGTTAAAACAAGGAACATATTGGGGATTTTAGCCGGTAAGAGCCCAGCAGTTCTCGTCTACCTCCTGAGACGAGAAGATCAGGATTTCTCCAAGATAAATAAACAAGGAAAAAGTGCGTGGGATATAACATATAACAGTATAGCTTGCTATTTAACATAAATGCTTACAAATATGTTTTTTATGTGATGAGAATGGCAAAACTAGCAGTCCACCTGACGTCAAGCGGTAACCGTCGATTATATACATGAACAGCACTACGGACATCACGTTATCATGTGACACCTGTGTTACCACTTTCCAAAAGATTATCATCATGCCTCTTATCCTGTAATTTCTCGAGACAGGGATTCGATATTCATTTAATATGAGATTTTGTTTCACAATAAAATATTTAAGTATATATCTATTAATTAGTATCATAATAAAAGAGCTGTTTAATTTAAGGACTAGATGTCGCTGTGATATTTTCATAGTAATTAAGTATTATAAAATAGAATATGTTGATTTATTTTAGGCATGAAATTTAATTATACAATAAATACTAATCAATAACTTTAGTATTCATGGAATACAAGCGTTCATAGTTGTTGAAAACTTTCAATAGATGGCGCTAATTTACTTTTTCCATTTTTTCGAAAAACAATACAGTTTTATGTATAGATTGGTAATGTTAAATCTTTCATTATACATTACATATTATAAATGACAAAATTAAGTACAAAAGCAGAGTATATCAAATAATTTAAGTGTGAGTTTTTAAGTAAATCTAATGAATATAAAAATAATGACACGACCGTAGCATTAATTTAAGAAAAATACACAACAATATATTTCAGTGTGTAGATCACAAATTAGTTTTTATTTAAAACATATTATTAAAATATGTTTAAAGTTTTTACCTGAAGAAACCCTATCAATTGCAAAAAAATCATATACATATAAATATATGTATAATTATTATCGCATTACATATACTTGTGTATATATAAATATACTCGAAATCAGAACCTCAAGTTTTTCGACGTTTAAAATATTTCTTAACATTGATTCAGTATTCACATAAATAACAAATAATACAATACAAGTAATCGTAAATACTACACAATAATATCATATGTTTTAAAGCCATGATAACCTGAATATCACTTAAGAACTAGTCATTTGCCTAATGGCGTGTCCACAGTCAAAAAACAAAAACAGCTGATCAAAATTATATAAATACATTCTTTGTATGGGTCGGGGTGTTTCCTATATACATATTATATATGTACAAAAATAATATAAAAAACAATAACCCACGACAATTCACACAGCGCCATCTAGTCCCAATCTAAGCAGAGATTCTGTTTCTGGTATTAGATAATCAATAAGTATTTATATCGATGCCTAGTACCTTGCTTAGCTTGGGACTAAATACCGCTATTATTATTAAATTACCGGCAAACCACGGACTACGGATCCATACTCCACCATAATTGAGCCATAGTCCAATTGGCAATATCTTTATTTAACTCATGGAGCCATACAAGTACATTCATGTCTGACCGTTAAATTCTGTCATACTTCGCGTAGACCCTCGTCTATTGCGGCACGTGTAACTCGCTCTCAATACTGTCCTTGCTATCAATTGTTACTACGTCATTGTCGTCCTTGAAGATATCTTGTACATTGCTACACATGTGACCGTCCCCTCAGATCAAACTCCGTCCAATTCAAACAAAGATTGAAATTACAACGGTCTGAGACGACGTTCCAACCTCTAGATGCCCTCAAGATAAAGTTATATCATCAGGCAGGAGTTGGCCTTCGGGCGTTCCATAAGACCTGCAGGTTTGGAGTGCCATCTGCACTCGCCCCTGATCACTGGACGGTGGAGCTGTAAAGGCCAGCTGCGGCCAACATCTTTAGAATAGTTCGAAAAACGTATAACCTTGGCCATCTACTGTCGTGACCTTCAAGATCCTTATCTGCAATGTTTTGTCACTGTGGACACGCTCTAACACTATTAAAGCTTAAAACATTAGCTGTAAGATAGCAAATATAGAATAGCATGGTGCATTGCTTTTTTAATTATTCTATTGTAATGGCAGAAAAGCTAGTAGGTAATTATATAAATAAGAAAAGTTTAAAAAGTAATAACAAAATATTTTAGTACTTCGTTGAGTAAATTGAAAGATGGGGAAATTGTTGAAATTACAACGAACGCGAGCATTGTGAGGTGTCATTCTTTTAGTGAATATAGGCCATATGGGTATCTTCATGATTTGTACATAGTATAACAAAGTCGCCACCACTATCTGTTCACTTATCTTTTAAATTACAACGGATTTCAATGCAGTTTACAGCAATAAATAGAGTGAATTAAGAGGAATATTTTTATGTATAATACATGCATAGAACTAAATGAGAAATTTAAAGATTTATAATGCATCTGTGCGAAGACGGATCACTAGTTTCTTTAGTTTTTGTCTCAATGTATATCTTGTTCTTTAAATGGCTGCAAGTAACTGTGACATAGTTTTTTTATAAACTAATAATGTTGTTTACAAAAAAGGTATTACTGTTCCTATTTGATCCTATTTATTCCTATTTGACGACCTCGGTGGTCTAGTGGTTTAGCACACCGCTTTACGTCCGATGGTCGCGAGTTCGATTCCTCGCACGGCACAATCATTAATTTGTATTCATGAGTATGATTGTTTGTGTCGGTTTGGGTGTTTTCTATGTATAATAGTACATATTAGTATCTAAAAAATCAAATCTATGTATTTGTATCAGTTGTCTAGTGCCCATAACACAAGCTTTAGCTAGCTTAACTTGGGTCTAGATGGCGCTGTGTGAATTGTCTTGAGATTATTATTATTATTATTTGATCCTATTGTTCTAATGTATAAATTTCAGAGTAAATAAACTTTTCAAATATACTGCACAATTTGTTTTCAACACAACACCATGCTAAGAAATTCTAAAAAAAATATAATTTTAGTACAATTATTCAGTAACTTAATTTCACTATATCATATAACAAATCAGTAAACATTCTAGAATTTTCTATTATTCGTAAATTATAAATAGTATCATCGTTATGTCAAGTAGATTTACTATTAGGACCGATAGTGCTTATATATTAAATCAATTATTATATATATTTCGATATAAATGCATTATGATAGTTATAACACATGGGGCGGAATTTCAGATCGAGCCGAAGACGAGGGCGTAATACAGCCGAGTGTGTTAAATACGAACGTATATCGGACGACGGTTTTCAACACACTTCATTTTATATAAACTCGACCATAAAACTGATGCACACTGTTGCTTTCCCGCCATTTTACTTTTTTAAATCAGCGCGCCTGATTGGCTGGCGCCGCGCGGCGGTATGTTCGAAATTTGAAATAAAAAAAAAATAGTACGGTTATGGAATATAACTTCACTATTTGCGTTTATAACGCACACGTGTTTTATGAGCTGCTTTATATATCGAAAACCGTTGAAATTAGATCAAATTTACGAGCAAGTGTGTTGAAATATTATTTTATGTAAATTAAAGCAAATTTTATTAGATCATTTCTTCTATAACAACCATAAATAGTAAATTCTTACAACGTCACAAGTATTAGCTGGAGTACAATATTGCTTGTTTGTGTCTATGCTGAACACTATATCACAGTTGTTTGAGCGCATCATGAAATAGTTTCTGCAGTACCATATCATGGAGGGATCACTACTTAATACCCAATACCCGCTCTATTTATGAGCAACTCACTAGGGATGTGAATAAACAATTGAATAGTGAAGCAAATCTAATAATTATAAATTAAAAATTGAATTTATATATCTATTACCATGCAGTCATAGAGTACGCCCCGCAAAGAGTAAAAAACAGATCTATTAAACAAATATTTTTTTAACTTTTCCTTTGCTAATCCGTGTATTAAATCCCGATAACTATATTAATAACAACAGTACTTTAAATGTGATGGATTATTTTTTATTCCACAACCAATGTGCCTAATAACTGAGCAGTAGAAATATCTCCTTTGGAAAGTTTACACTCTATCTTGAGGAGATAAAAACCATCGCTCCTAAGAATATCCCAGAAAAAAAAGGGCGAGCACAATAGATCTTGGTTGGTAGGTCAAAGTGCTACAGGTCTACAATAGCCCAAAACCCTCAATAAATAAATAAAAGTAAGTGCTATTTATACTTGTGGCGTTGTAATGCAATAAACAATACCCATATTTATATACCTATCATATCAGTCATACATAAAACATATTCCTATTGGAATGATCAAAGTACAAAAGTACGACAAAGGCTACGAGAGACAGTCCAACATTTTTACTACAGAAAACAAACGGTAGTACCTGATGCAGTCTCATTTAGGCCGAATCTTTTCGTAGAAATATATCTGAGCGACTCCATTATTCTCTCTCGACAACAATTTCTTTTTAACAAATTTGAAGTGCTCTAATGCAAACTCGTAGAGTTCATTTTCCATCTTCCAGACGGTCGACTCTTGTATTTTGTCTATGGTCGCTTGACTCGGCTCTATCTTGGAGCTAGTCTGTCGGAGATGAGACTTGTTGCTGTTCAGGTAGTGTTCGGTGGCTCCTTTGAAGAGTCGAGGCAACGTAGACTCTAATACCGTGATGAAATCGAGCATCTCCTCTGTAACACCGACCAGTAGATAATGGTCGACCAGGTTTTGCTTAGCTTGTTCTAAAGCCCAGAGACTTCCGGGTTTCCTATGAAAATATTGAACATAAAATTATTTTGAGTATTAACCACATGTACGGTGATTTATATTTACGTCATAATATAACGCTATATGACCATAGAAAATAGAGAGGAAAAATGTTAGTGGCAAGTTGAATTTATGAAAATTATTATTGAGGGAAAAATAGAAGGAAAGAGGGGGAGGGGAACACTAAGGTACAGTAACATCAAGCAAATTAAAGACAAAATTGGAGTTGTGTCGTATCAACGTGATAAGTGAAGATCGTGGAAAGTGGCGAGCGTGGTACTTAAATTACGAATGGCTACAGTCTGTGGCATAAAATTTTAAAATTGCAGAGGATGACCGTACAATTCTCTAAGATGTATATAGTTTTAGTTATCTTTCCATTATCGGAGGATAATGAAGTAGTTTTTTTTATAGATTTACCTAAGTACATGATCTATGATTTAGATTTGTACTTTATAATACTAATAATAATCTTTATAACCTTATATAATGAATAGTTACAATTTCTGCTTATAACCAAATTAAACGTTATTAATCGAGATAAAGCATCTACCACTCAAGAGGGGCAGTGAGTCTACTGAGTATAAATAATAATTTAATAGATTTATCTTAAACTAGCTGTTCCCGCGACTTCATCCGCGTGGAATTTAACTTTATTTTTCTAAAATAAAGGTAACCTAAGTTACTTACTCCTCATTAAATCTGCTACCTGCCAAAAAAGTCCCATCAAAATCGGTCCAGCCATTTCAGAGATTAACCGGGACAAACAAACAGACAGACAGACAGACAAAAATTGTAAAAAAAATTATTTTGGTGTATATACCCAATTTATATTCATATGCATATAGTAACAAAAGTTTATTTCAACATTACAAATAGACACTCCAATTTTATTTATATGTATAGATAATGCAGAAGAACTGAACTGAATTAATTTGTTTTTGAAAGCTGATAAATAAAGCAATATAAATGCGCATTATGGATTTTAAATGTGTTATTATTTTAATAAGTATTAGTTATGGTACATACCAACATTGTGCGGAATGCCCACAGAAGAATGGTACTTGTAACCACATATTGGTGGGGTCGCAGTCTGGCTGGCTCCTCTCTACACACTCGTCAAATGTCTGAAAACAACATATTATCATAATAATAGCATTCATTACTGTTATTTTTTTCTAATTATACATATTTTGCAGTAACTGTGATCCTATTAGTTTATATATATACTCCAATTTACATATGACCCGTGCAACTTCGTCTGCATGACACTTACTTGACTATTATCACTATATTTTCTCCAATTTACATACTATCTTTTTAAATTATAGCTTATATATTACTCTGATGCTATATTACTAGAAAGTTTCATCAAAATCCGTTCAGTAGTGTTTGCTTGAAAGAGTAACAAACATCCATACTCACAAACTTTCGCGTTTATATTAAGATATAAACGCGAAATATATTATATTAAGATATATCGCGTTTAATTTAAGATATTTTTCTGAACGTTAACAGTTTGTCCTGATGTGGCATAGGCCTCTTCCAAGTTTTTCGAAATAAAATATAATTAACAATTTAATTATATTTTATTTCGAAAAACTTGGAAGAGGAAATATTTTTTTTTGGTTTTGTTAAATAAATTTAAGGTTCATATTATATATCTTAAATTCAACAATTAAACGAAACAAATAATATTTTTATTCATGTAGGTCTATTACAAACTCTTATATGTCAAATCTACAATCAGTTCGGAGTGTTTTCGAGCTGAGAAGAACTGATGTGAAACTCAGCTCTTATTCTCTACAAATGAACTTGTACATGTTTACAATAATACAGATACATTTTTAAATTAGCAAAAATATTAAAAAGATAAATATCCTTGAGCTGGATGAAAGATTTCTAGCTAGCTGAAACATGGGGACCTTGTCAAAGGATAGAGTTCCTCCCACGCCTACTACCAACATCTCACCTGCTTATAGTACCAGTACTGATTGCAGATATTTAACTACCAAAAAAAAACATTTTTAAATTCAAATTTGGGAGAATATAGTGATCGCCAGCATATGCTGAATATATATGAAATAGTCCTGTATATAATATAATATCTCAAGATGATTTAACACAGCGCCATCTAGTGTCAAGCTAAGCAAAGCTTGTGTGTTACCAGTACTAGACAATTGATACAAATAGTTATTACATTTTTCGGAAAATACATGCATAATATATAAAACACATAGGTTACAAACAATTTTTTTTTGGATTGAGCATTATTTTTTAACTCTTAGCTTCTGCGTTTGCGCTTTCGGGTTACGCTCGCTTTAGCAGAGTATGTGAAATGTTTTATTGGAAGACGAGTGATTGGATTTGCGATGTTGTTATTTTTAGGATGGATTATTTACACTGATGAAATTGCGGTATGTATACTTTTTTTTGTTTTGTTATTATTTTTTTTTGTAGGTTGTTTTGTGTGATTATGAATTATTCGTGATGTATTTTTTTAATTATTATTTTTTTTTTTACTTTCATATCAGTTTTTTTTTATACATCTGAATACAAAGGTTAAATATAAATAAAATTTTGTAAGGGATTTTTTGATCAATCATGATAGAAAATTCTAAAATATATTTTTTTTTATTTATTTAATAAAGAATTTTCTTTATTTGTTAAATGTAGTGATTATTTATTTAGTGTGCATACAATTCAGACTAAAACAAAAAGTTACTAAAATAACTAAAATGTAATATATTAAATTACTTTTCTTCCCCAATAAATAATGAAGAAGAAGAGTGAAGCTTAAATTCAGTGTTAAAAATCAATTTTATAAGCAAATTTATTTATTTGAACTTACCATCTTATCTCCATGTTTTTTCCTCACTAAATGTGGTCTAAAATTGTCTCCGTTTCTTAAAAAGTAATAATAGGAGACCAATCTATCTAATGGCTTTCTAATTAAATTTATAAATATCGGCTTAGAGGATGCGCCCAATCTGAAATCACAAAGAAAGTTGACAATTTACAACAAATTTTTATGTTTACAAGTATCAGTTTGTGTACATTACATATAAAACATACCATACATACATACATAACATGTAATACTGGAAGCAAACAGAAATTTCAAATTTAGTAAAATTCACTCTAAAGTTTTAACTATATTGTCTAATCATAAAGTCAAACTTTTTTTGTTTTTATTATTGTAATACTGTGAGATCTTTTAATGAAAATTTCAAATTATATTCGCAATATTTGATTTATCTATGAATTATGAATCCTTTATTGTATTAAGCGTGCTATACATTTCATTACTAGACAATTTAATGTCTAACAATTAGATTATAGTATTAATTTAAATTTTCTCTTTAAGACGAGTTAATTTAAGTTCTTTAATTCAACTGTTATTTCAAAAATTTTTACTGGATTTAACTAGGTAACTGTTAGTTATTTAATTTTGTCTATAAATACTAATTTATCTATAAAACTACAAAACTAAAAAAAACTAAATTAGTGGTCTGAACTTCTTTCTATTTATCTAACAGTATCTAACAGTAATCTAAATTTATTTAGAGCTATTTAATTGTATGGTCTAACTTTTTGAAATTAAATAAAACATCTATTAGTCATAAATGTGATATGTACAATGATTAAGGAATCAGTACTACACTTCTATACATTCTACTTTATACGAAAACCAACTCATTTCTTCTAAATACATTCCTGACAGAGGAGTTGTGGTCTTTATTGTTTTAATGTTTAACAGATGTCACTATCATATATCTTATTGTATAATATTATCATTGCTCTTATTAGAATATTCCAGGTGTTTTAGTAAGGAGTTTGTTTTTTTTTTGTTTGTAATACTTGATTGTTAACAGTAAATACATTGAAAATTAAGATACAATCTTCAGAAATAGGTTGTACAATGGCAGACTTATCCCAAATGAGAGATTTCGTCCTGTCAACCTTTGAATGACTGAAAGGAATTGTGGATATAAAAAGGAAGGAAATAGATTACTACTCTTCATTCATGAAGTCTTGGCTTGGTTCATCTGTCTAGATGCCCTGCCGAATCGGTCCATGTTGACACTAAGAATACCCTTACATGAAACTCTTCTTACCTTTCAAAATTAAGGAATGCCATGTGACCATGGTACAGTGCTGGCTTCACATCCTGCCACCGCGTCACATTTTGCGCAAACTTGTACTGGTTGCTGAGTGACATTACGTGCATATTAGCAGTTATATTGATATGTAACACTTTGAAGTGATTCTTCTTGCACAAATCATATGCTATACCAACGAAACTTGTGGAGCCCGTCTTCGGCACCCTATTGTATATCACCACTAAATCGTCGTCATCTTTCTCCAAAGACTTCGGGAAAAACTGGCGAGACTCCGAGTGGGTCTGAGCGAATTTGTATTCTGTAAGAGAAATCGGAATTTTCTCATTGAAAGTTTACCGTTAATTATGAATGCGCAAATGTGTGATAATTTAATTCTTTCTAACCTAGTTTTCGGTAGCTGTCCTCCAAACGAGCGATTTCCGATTGAAAATATAATATTATTATAACAATAACACATAGACACGACAACAGCCATAGTTTGTGGACGTTCAACATAATTAAACAGAACCTGTACGCTCTAGTTCACGCTTAAGCCAACACTGACACGATTAATATTCATTATACTAGAAATAAACATTCGTTCAGACTATTTGTAACTCCTACACAAGGTAAATAGAAATAAATATAAGAAACGCCGCACTCCGTACGTAATATGAGCGTTATCAAAAACAGTATGAACTATGACGATTTGTCAATTTTGACATTGTCATATTATTTGATGACTTTGACGTTTGACAGTTAAATACCTAAATTTACCTGTCGAGAAGTCTGTGTCAACTACGATGTCAGTTATATGACGTTCCATTCTAATTTTCGAATGAATGAATCTTAGTAGATTAGAGATTAATGAAATACCTGACTAACATTAGTCCGTAGTCGTCCGCACTCCCCGCACGGATTATTGTTGGGCATCGGGAGAACCCCTTTGCCCGGTATCAACTCCAGGGGAAACAACCCCTAGGTAGCGGGGGAAGGGGATTGTTAGTAATGTGGACTGATGATCCCATTGCTAGCAATGTACCATGTCAGATCGACCTCCACGCGGTTCCCCCTGGAAACCATCGTGATACATTCCCGGTGAATTTGTCACGTTGGGCTAACTGATCTGATTTCATGTTCATCCTATCATCCTACACTGGTGCCCCGCCAGCGTAAACCGTTAGCGCGAGTGGGTGCACCATTCCATTATCATCGTTTGAAAAAAAACCCCTAGGTAGCGGGGGTAAAGTAGTTTGTTAGTAATGTGCATGGTTGACCTTCACGCGGTTCCCCCTGGAAACCATCGTGATAAATTCTTAGTGAATTTGTTACGATGGGCTAACTGACCTGACGTCATACTCATCTTATCATTCTCCACTGGTAGCCCGCCAGCGTAAACCGTTAGCGCAGACGGGTGTACCATTCCATTATTATCCATAAAAAAAAACCCAGCTAGGGTTGTAAGCCTCTTAAGGCACGAATTAACATATGAAGAAATATAATTAACTAAACTTACCTAACTAACGAACTCGGGGACTACTTTTTTTATTATTACTTTAATGGTATACCTAGACTACCTATACGTATTTTGTGGACCTTACCTTCCATAGATTTGCCATATAAAGCATATATATATATATGTCAAGGCCCTAAGGTAAGCACATACTTGTTTCTAGATATCTGGTAGGGATACAGCTACAATACTTCTCGACCTACTTAAAAATGTAAGATAGTACAGCTAAGTCTTAATTATGTAAAGCATATGCAATTGTCGTTTGAACCTCATTGATATGGTACATCTTTTTTAATATAAATGTACTACTAAGTCTCTTGGGAAACGTCATCAAGTGACTGTTTTTTTCGGACTACTTTACAGCTTCATCGGATGATAGGAGGCGAGTGCAGATGGCACTTCAAACCTGCGAAAGGACTTATGTAGCGACTATAGTCTGAGGGCATCGCTATAGGTCTGAGCCTAGGGTCAGGCCGTCGTAATGTCGATCCCCGTTTAAATTAGACGGGGTATCAATCGGAGGGGCGTCTAATGACTGCAACTGTCAAATACTTTTGTCAAAAGTCAGTTGCAATTGTTTGAAATTTTGAAAAGAATTGAGGCCTTCTAGATCCCCAGAACTAAAAAAAATTGACACAAGGTTTTTTACGCAACGTACATAGAATAGCAATGAAAATTGAATTAGTTTCGTCTACTGCCGGACATTGATTATTTTATATGCGATTTTATACGGTTCTGTGAACGTGATATTTATTTATTCGGAACTACGGTTTGTTTACACAATGAATTTATATTTGCCCGTCCCACATTGACTTTATTATGTTTTACTTGAGTTGATTAACCTCTATGTTATAAAATAACTTTTAACACAGAATGTATTATAGTATTTTGGGGGGAATAGGATTGTTAGTAATATAGATTAATGACCTCATTACTAGCAATGCACCATGTCAGGTTCACCTCCACGGCGGTGCCCTAATGAATTTGCTATGATGGATCATCTGACCTGATCTCATCCTATTCTTATATCGTTCACTAGTGCCCCGCAAGCGTATACCGTTAGCGCAGACGGATGCACCATTCTATCATTAGATATCTAAACCAAAAAACAATGTAACCGTGGGGAAGGAAAGGAAGGTAGTTCTCAATAAATAGTGGCAACTATTTGCACCATTGCTAGTCACGTATATCAGGTCCACTTCCGCGCGGCCTCCTCTGGAAACCACCATCGGTAATTCCTAGTCAATTCATTAGGAATAAAAAAATATTTTTTATCTCAACGTTTTATGATTTACATAATGCGGCATTTTTAGACTCTTATACGATAACCCAGAGGTTTTCCTTTGACAATAACTAATTAAAAATAAAGTAATAGATGTGCTCAAAAATGAAATCCTAGATGGAATAATGCAGTGTCATTTTTTACCCACGATAAAACGGAAAAAACTCCCGTTCTATTGTGTCTAAAAAATAGAATATTGAGCCTACGCTAATTTATTTTGTTATATTGTTACACAGATAATTCTGTAATAGTCGAAAAGTTTCAAGGTGAGTTCTTTCAGTCGTAATCTCAGTTTCCGATTATTTCCCGTGCCACACGGGCGGCTGCGCGCGAAAAATAGCACTGACATTAGTTTTGCCGCCAAAACTGGGTCAACTACCGTGCTATTTATTGTGTGTACAGAATGAAAATAAAAAATATACCTTAATTATAGCATATATTTATCTCTTTTATTGTGTTAAAAAGATTTCGTTTGAAGAATTTGAATTGATAATGATAAAACCAGAAATTTAACAACATGAATATTTTTAGTAAGCAGTAAGTACGTCCCTATTTTTTTAAAGTACAGAGTAATTTCGATAATTACTCTGAATTTCGTAAATCATATATTAAAATAAATAACCTATTTATTTATTTTTGATATAAATAAATAGGTTATTTATTTTAATATTGCATATATGTACGAACATAGTACCCAATATTATGATTTACATTAGGTAATAGAGTACTATTTATTTTGTTTTTTTTGTATAGAAGACTACTTGTTACCCGCTGTTTCGTCTGTTATTTATATTTTTGTGGTGTATGTTTTTGTATTATAAATTAAATTCAAACAATATTAAAATATAATATTAATATATATTTATTATATATCATTATCTGCTTCTTGCTTATCCCATTTATTTGGGGTCGGCGTAATATGTGTTTGTGTTATTTATTATATATATATGCACACATATACATTACCAAAACACATCTAAGAAAATACATTCACGTACAGTTTGTCCAATTACTATTGATGTTAATCATTGTGACTTTTTCAACAATTATATATTTATTTTGAAATACATTGAACACAATTTACTTGATGACCGTCTGTCAGTGGTCAAAGTCAAAGATGCGTTAATGATGAGATGTGTTTTCATCTGCCAAGTTCGAACTTACCGCCCGGGGGCGGGCCCCGTGTAGCCCCTCGATTCGGGGCTGGCGCTAAGCTAGATTTAAATTCAAAATATCTTTATTCATGTAGGTCTATTACATACTTTTATGATATGTCGAATCTACCGTCAGTTCGGAATGATTTCGAGATGAGAAGAACTAACAAGACAGATCGTTATTCTTTTAAAATAAATGTTGTACATGTTTACAGTAATACAGATATACTGACGACCTCGGTGGTATAGCGGTTAGCACACCGCTTTACGACCGATGGTCGCGGGTTCGATTCCTCGCACGGCACAAACATTTGAATTCATGAGTATGAGCCTTTGTATCGGTCTGGGTGTTTTCTATGTATAATATGTATGTATTTACAAAAAAATATATCTATGTATATGTATCAGTTATCTAGTACCCATAACACAAGCTTTAGCTAGCTTAACTAGGGTCTAGATGGCTATGTGTGAATTGTCCTGAGATAAAAAAAAAAGATTCCTTTTTGAAATTCAAATTTGGGAGAATAGAATGACCATCAGCATATGCTATTGCAAAAGCAAAAAGAGTAACAGTGATCGTAACTTGAACAGACCAGTCCCACAAGCATTTACCGCCTACTAAAACACGATATATACTTTATGCATATTGTAATAGAGACAGAAATGTAATTCATTGAACAAACGCAAAATATTTAATAACACCTTCCTGTTGCAAGACGGTTTTAATTCGGGTCACTTCGCACGTGCACGGAACAATTAGGTGTTAGTGTGACACACAATTCGTTACCTACCTTATTGTTTCAATAAATATAACACCTACGCCATACATACTCTCATACATACATACTCTCACAAATACATACTAAATACACATTAATTTATTGTACTTCCGACTGAGTGGTGCTGTTACATTCACAATAATATTATGTACCTAATACTAGCTGTACATGCGTACTTTGTACGCGGGGAATATAACTTTACTTTTCAAAAATAAAAGTAGCCTAAGTTACTCCTTATTACATCATCTACCTGCCAATAAAAATCCCATCGAAGTCGGTCCAGCCATTTCAGAGATTAGCCGGAACAAACAGACAGACAAAAATTGTAAAAAATGTTGTTTTGGTGTATGTATCGTATTTATATTCATATGCATGTAGTAAAAAACGGTTATTTCAATATTACAAACAGACACTCCAATTTTATTTATATGTATAGATTATATTATCTGTGGTAAAAGTGTACGGGATGAATGGCAGATAAAAATGTATTACGCCTACCCATAAAATGGGGTAAGAACGGAGCAGATGATGATGGTAAAAGTATATCTGATTGTTATTTTTTCGCGATTGGATGCCTAAATGTATTGGTAGGGAAACACCGAGCAGTTTCCGGGTCTTGTGACCCGGGTGTACGTTTAACGAGCACGGGATTTGAATTCTAAAGGTATATTATAATAACAATACTATTAATATCTCAGGACGATTTACATAGCGCCATCTAGACCCAAGCTAAGCAGACCATGTGTTATGGGTACTGGACAACTGACATACATATATTCATTATTATTGTGTTTATATACCCATATATTATACATAGATAACACCTAGCCAAATACAAATTATTATACTCATGCATACAAATCTTTGTACCGTGCGAAGAATCGAACTAACCACCAAGCATGCATTGTTAGAGATGTGTCAACTTGAGTTACTAACTCGAGTTACTAATTCCAGTTAACTCGAGTTGAATTCTGCCTCGAGTTTACCTCGAAAACTCGAGTTGAGTTGTAAGAACTGGAACAACTGGTAAATGAATGAATCAAGTGAAGAGAAATTTTCCAATCATTTCATATCATACAATTTTCACTCGTCACAAATATTTCAGTATTGAGTTGAGGTTGTTATCATTTTTTTTCGCATATTCGTCCGATTATTTTATCATTAAAATGATTATGCGTTCTATAAGTCCTTCAGCGGCTTTAAAGTGCGTTTTCTACTCGTCTCGACTCTCGAACTCGAGTTAACTCGAGTTACCTGAATTTCAATTCGAGTTAACTCGAGTCATGTTTATAACGAGTTAGCACATCTCTAGGCAAGGCTAGACCATCGAGACTGTCAACACTACATCCACAGTGTGAAATTTATAGCCTATGTGTTATTCTGAGCTATATTGCTGTAAATCATCAAAATTTATTCAGTAGTTTTTGCGTGAAAGATCCATCCATACTCACAAACTTTCGTGTTTCTAATATTACAGTAGGATTAGTCTTGCGATAGCATACCACAAACTATTACGGAAATGGAGTATGACGGGGGTGTTGTTAAGACAAAAATAGTCACCTATTTACACGTGAGCTGGGCTCAGCGTTTCAAGTCCAACTCATCCCTCAAGTGCTGGGAAATGGGACGTGACGTCATGTTACACTTGATTAGTAACTGTAATATAGTAACATGAGTTATCCCTCACAGCTACACCATATATAGTCTATGGTAATAATTAGTAGGCAGTTTTTTTAAATTAATTATTTTTAATTTGATATCTCTTAGTGGTGTTGTTTTTTTATTAATATTTTTTATAATTTTGTGGTGTGTTATAATTACTTATAAGTATAACGTATTTCTTTATGTCTGTCGTATTGTAGCTACTAAACGAATGGATCGATTCTGATGCGGGTTTTTTAAACCTAAGGACATAGGCTACTTTTTAAAGCGAAAAGAAAGGTGTAAGGGATTGATGGGGAGATAAAAGGTTGTATAGAGGTATCGTCATTTTTAAAGCTAAAAGGTTGGAACTTATTTTTCATGGTGTAGGATTGGATTTGATGGCAGAAGAATATAAATGTAGGACAAAAATAAATAATAAATTTCGTCCAAGATTAAAAAAAAAAAGATATGAATAAACCCTATCACTTAGACGTTTGATAAGATTGAACGTAAACTAGAAAGTTTACGTCTTATTCTCAGATCAATTAAATATACACACAAAACTTCATAAGAATCAAGGTCAAAACATTCGGAGGAGTTTTGTTACATTATCTTAGGAGAATTTTATAAATTAGATATAGTAAACTATTCTACATTATTACTATTAAATACTCATCTAAAACTGAACAGCAATTATGCATCAGTTTTCTTTTCTTTGCCCGTAAATAAACAACACATCTGGCTTACAAACGTATCTCCTTCATTCAATGCAATTTATTCAGTTAAAACCAAGACGTCTCTCTGAGAACACGTATATTTTTATTAACTGTATATCACGATCGTCTGTGCTATCGAGTCAAATTTCAATTATTTTAAAAAATACAGAGTTTTAAAAGAATTGTATTTTAATATTTAAATTTAGAATTAATAATTTATAATTTAAAAATTGAGCAAATAGTAAATTAAGGCTAAGGAAATGCGCCGCATAAGTTTATAAGATTTTTAGATATGGAAGTCGATCGTATTCTTTATATTTTCGGTAGCTTTTCGAGAAAGAAACAAGACAAGAGGAAATCATTGGAGCAGTCGTCTATTAGTGCTGGAAACAGTCCATTGAGAGTACCAAGAAACCAGCGGCCTTTGAGCCAATGCCTGAACATAGCACCCAGGACATCCGCTTATGAAGATGGGAATACCGTCACCAAAGAGTGGGAGTGCAAGCTGTGTAAGAAAGAGCTAGCTGAACCTCGACTGTTGGGGTGCCTACATAGTTTCTGCACGAGATGCCTCCAAGGTCTTCATCAGGAAGGAGAGGCGGAGGCTTGGAGCGAAGTAGACATTGGTGAGTAGTAGATTATTTTATTTTTTATTATATTGAAATATATTTAATGAATTTTTCGTGTTCTTTTTTATTAAATATCATAAAATATCTATTTAGATTAATCTATTAAAAAAAGAATGTATGTACAGAATATTATCTTCTTTATTTTGTTTATCTGTAGCATCGAAAGATCGAAACGGTAGTTTTTATCACGATCTGTTACTCAAATGTTTTGCGGCTTCTATTCCTCACACAGTATTAACATTTGTATTCATGAGTATGATTGTTTGGGTTTATTTCATATATATAAAAAAATGTTTTATGTATTTATATCAGTTGTTTAGTACCCATAACGTAAGCTTATCTTAACGGAACTAGATGGCGCAGTGTAAATAGTCCTGAGTTTACTTAGAGTTTATTTATTACTAGTCGTCGCCCAATGGTCGAAATATGAAAAATTACACATTCAGTAAAATTATGGATAGACAAGTAGGTAATATTAAACACAAATAATATTAATTTATTCTCAATTTGACATATACGTAAACATACTATGCTATATATTAGTGCTAATTGGTGGTTTGTATTCACATACTTAAACTTAAAAATGTAAAGTAATAATAAAATTATTTAAAACAGCAACACGCAAGTTTCTTGCTCGTTCTTCTTGTGATGAAACAGCTTTCCGAATGAGTGGTAGATTAAAAAAATGTAATGACTATTCAAAAGTGCTTCAATGTTTATTAAGAAGGTGTTTATAAAGGTTTATTTGAATAAATGATTTTCTATTCTATTCTATACGCATACGCATGTCGAATACGTGGTATTTCTTATGCACATCATTAAAAAAATATTACCATTTCGCATTCTTTACCTATATGTTTATATAGGGAAGGAATGCGGAATATCTATCCTTTAAACTATGTATGTAGTCTATTATATATGATATTGTATTAAATTAATTGTATTATATGCATATTTATCCGTGAATCACTTATTCGGGGTTCCACTGAAAATCAGCGTCGGCCCCTTACAGTACACAGTGATGCGGTGGCGATGCTCCGCAGTGGTGGATAAGAAATGCATTTTACTTTATTATCATTATTTATTTGTTTTACTATTTTGTTCTTTTATTTATTTATTTTTTTTGTATATAATGATTTCATCTGATTTGTTTTGTATTTACGTTTATCTTATATAATAATTTATATGCAGCTGTCAGCTGTCGTTTTTATTTTGTTGTGATCTGTGATTTATGTTATTCTATTATATTATATTCTATAATATAAGCGTGCGAAATTTCATAACTCTATCCGCAATTTTCGTAAAAAGTTTCTAATGTCACGTATTAATACATAATTATGATATATAGAATGTTTATATCCAAAATTTACAAAATTAAATGATTTGATTAGTTTTTAATGTTGTTGAGGGTTCTACTGTCATTCCCAAGTGTCATATGTAATATAATAATCATGTTAATATATATACTTATTCTTAACTCACAAATTTCTAAGCACTCGATGTCAGGAGTGATTAGTTAATCATAAAAATTGTCTACCTAACTACTAAACACTAAATACTATTTCTATTCTCTGTTTATATGGATTATAACAGAGAAGCCAATCAAAAACATATAACAATAGACAACCGCATCTTTTATCAAGCCATAAATTTATAGAGCCCTATAAAATACACGTAGTGCAAAGTGATGGGCCTATTAACGAATCGGGAATACCATTTGAAATGATCTCACAATATTAAGTAAGTATATTGAATGGAAGCGGCAAGCCGATGTCGACCGTACGAACTATGTAATATTATGTTATCTGTGGTACGAACTGAGGGTATCGAATAAATTAATATTTAAAATACGCATAACAGACAGACAACTTTTTTGTTTATTTTATGTATATCTAATTATATGTACAAATAAATAAAATTAAAGTATCTGTTTGTAATTTAAAATTAACAGCTTTTTACTAAATGTATATGAAAGTATATACGGTACTTACATTAATAAATTAATTGTAAAAAATATGTCCGTCTGTCTGTTTGTTCTTGCTAATCTCTGAAACGATGTCGGTTAACTCAATAATCACGAAATGTAGAGTTAATACGTTGCTAATGTTCAAAGACACGAAATCGCACATTGTAATGTCGAACGATCCAAATTTCGCTTTATGAGTCTTTGACAGGTCGAATAATCTGATCATTGGTCAGATTGTCAATTAAGAAATTAAGTTGATCAATCCATATCGTTACTCAACATATATCGTGAAATGGACAAAAATAATGTCAAAATCTTAGGTATTCTAATATCTATGAACTATACATATTTTTCATTTTGTATATAAAAAAGTTTCCAAATACATATATCATATTATATTTTGTCTATATTTTTTATAATAATTGTTTTGTTTACATTAACATTAATCTTGTAAAGAATTTGCAATACATTGGTGCCTTTTTTGATCTCGTCTCGTCATACTCATCTTTTGATCGTATCGTATCCTTTTTATCCTTTAAACTGACAAACGACTCGACCGATCGGATCGACAAAGTTGATGACAGATCGACCCGACCGATCGGGTGCCAAATTACGTCGTGCGTAGACGTTTCTAGGGAGGTCATCTTGAGCTGGATATTAATTTAATGTAAATAAAGCATGGTTTTATGGCTTTGTCCTACTCAGTAGGGCGTGCAGTGCATCTGGAGTCTGGAGAGGCTATTAAACTGTTAACAACTCATTAAAACATAGTGGCTGTTGTATTGTGTAATCAAAATTTCGTTTCGTCTGTGGAAATTAGAACTGTGAAACGAATCCATACTTCCATACTAATTTATTTATTAAATTAATAAATAGAGGTGCACATGGCGGACTTTCCACCTTGAGGCATTTTCTGTCAGTAAACCATAGGGCAAACAGAGTCATGAGGGCGGTGTCATGAGTCATGTGATGATGATATCACATCACATTAAAGTTATCTTTTTTTTACATTTGAATTAGTATATATATACGATATAATATATTTTTTTAAATATACATACATATACGCATATACTTATATACATATAATACATCATTTATATAATATAAATAAAATTTTATTTATTACGTGCGCCACCTACCCTGTTCTTATTTTTATTTCTCTATCCACCTAAAGGTAGTCTGGAAGAGATTGCTTAGCGATAAGACCGCTTTTTGTATCAATGTAAATTTTCTATTTTAATTGTTTTTTGTTTTTGTTCTGTAATTGGTGCAATAAAGAGTATAAATAAATAAAAATAAATAATTTTAATTATTTATTTATTTGAGCTTTGCATTACATAACTGTACAATAAGCAGTTGGTAGGTAGTTTAATTCAAAGTAGGTCAATTATGGAGCCTGTTGGACACAGCAAGCAGAGGAGAAGAGAGGAGGACGAATTCTAAATTGTATATATTCAATAATAATAATAATAACATCTAATTCACGTAATTATTAATAATTTTAAACTATACATATTTCACTATTATGTAAACTTGTAGAATATTTAATTCAATATGTCGTTTTCATACCCCGAAATGCTATAATAACATTTTTTAATTAACGATCTCTTAAGATCTCCTACAAATTTGCGTGTTAGGAATCGAACCCGCAACTATCGGAATTGAGGCGGTATGCTAAATCCTTACCCGGGGGTAATATATTCCGAGGTCTACAAAATGTCGCATAATAGGTATGTTCGTTATATTTATTTTATAAATTATAGACTAGGTAAAGTTGTATATCGTGAGTGCGAAGCCCCACAGAGTAAGCTGTGACCCAGCTTATTTAATCTTGTTAATCAATCACCTACATCCGACATGCAAAGAAGAAAGGTGTTGTTTCAATAGATGAACAACTATATATAAGGATGGAAGAAAGCAGAATTGTCGTAACTTGAAAAAGCCAACTTTAGATCAAGACCAAAAAAACTGTTTCAAAAATTAACTTAGTACTTATCGAGATAGATAGTTTAAATTGGTTAAATTCATACCAATTTTCATGAATTCCATACGGTATTATAATTGTGTCTAGCCGTATCGTAAAACTGTTAAGTAAATTGATTGACAGGTCGCCGAACAGGCAACACTAGGCTTCATAGCTATTAAAATTTATCACTATTTGAGAAGGTAACGGTAGTAAAGTTTCCGCATTCAATATATTTGGTCTCACACATACTAATTGTAGCGGAATTTAACAAAATGTCAATTTAATATATATTTAGTATATCATATAAATCGTGTACAACACAACAATACACCACCAGGTCTTGTGCTGAAAAACAGCGTTGCAGCGCTACAGCCGCTGCAGCATTATACTGAGCACGGACCTATTCTATAGATGTTTTGACAAACATACGTAATTTGTAATTTTATAACAAATGTATTTATATGGTAAATGTACTTTTTTTTATTTTTTGTAATTGTTGCAATTATTGAGTTTATTTTTATTTGTTTAATGTGTGTTTTAGTTTTTTTAACATCTACTGAATAAATATCATTTCATTTCATTTAATTTCAAAATAATATAAATCAATTATTTTATTCAAAATAATATAATGCAAAATAACGACTAATTCTATAAAATATTTGTAAATTGTTTCTACATACCCTAGGTTTTCCTATAAGGAATCATATATATATAAAAAAAATCTCGTGTCACGTGTCCCTCCGAAAAGGCTTGACCAATATTTATAAAATTGTAATGAATATTCAGTAGATTTGAGAATCGGCTACTATCTATTTGTTTGTGTTTGCCAATTTTTTTATAATGTTGCATTAAACATACATACAAACCTAAATTTTCACCCTTCTACCATCCTACCCCTATTTATTAATAGCGATATTAGTACTTCTAAATATATATAACTCAAACTTGACTGACGTAGTGATCTATCAACGCACAGCCCAAACCACTGAACGGATCGGGCTGAAATTTGGCATGCAGGTAGATGTTACGACGTAGGCATCTGCTAAGAAAGGATTTTGATTAATTCTACCCCCAACGGAATAAAATAGGGGATGAAAGTTTGTATGAAACTTTGTCAATTTTAAACCGATCGGGCTGAGACTTTGCATGCATAAAGCTACTATGACTTAGGCATCCCCTAAGAACGGATTTTGATAAATTCCACCCCTAATGGGGATAAATTAACGCGAGCGAAGCCGCGAGCAAAAGCTAGTTAATTTATATGACAAAACAACTTTTGTCTGTACAACCAAGTAAATATAAAATTGTCGTATTCCCATAGTAAAGTAGTAAATAACATCTGTATCCATGTCATCCCTATTTTAAATGCATAATAATGAATATATTCAGTCTCATTGATGCGTACTCACACGCCGGAACTTAGTTAATGTGTTTCTATAATTGGCTGCCACTGCCACCCCGCTAGTAACGCGCGACACGTGCAAACAAACATACATTCACACAGTCAAGTAATGGTACATGAATGTAAACAATCGTTTCCTTGACGTTTCCTTAAACTTCTTGGTGTAGTGGACAGAAAGATTATTTAGCATTACAACTGTTACGGAAGGACTGTATTGTTCAAAATGAGACACGTTCCTGGGTGAGGTAAAATAAGTGTAATCAGCTCGCTAGCAAAAATGTAAAGACAATCAAAAAGGTTGCCATCGGCAACAACAACGATATAGTTCTCTTTTAATATTGATCTGATTTCCAAAGATAAAATAATCTTACTAAATATTATAAAGTGAAAGTTTGTAAGTATGGTTATGGATAAATGAATGTCTGTTACTCTAAGCAAAAAGTACTGGACGAATTTGGATGGAACATATCACGTAAAAACTATTTTACGGATTTGGATAGAACTTACTCTTACCACAGATAACATAATATCGCATACTCTTACTAATATTATAAACGCGAAAGTTTGTGATTATGGATGGATGTTTGTTACTCTTTCACTCAGAAACTACTGGACAGATTTTGACGAAACTGTACAGTAATATAGCTTATAGATCAGACTAACATATAGGGTAATGTATGCTATTAATTTCACGCGGAAAACAGCGGCTACAGCTACTAGTAATAGTAGTATAATTATATTCTGGTCGGCAATGCGCACGTGACACCTCTGGTGTTTCAGGCGTCCATAGGCTACGGTAACCATTCACCATCAGATGAGCCGTATGCTTGTTCGCCACCATAGTAGAATAAAAATATATAAATTTATATATATACGGTTCCATTAACATGAAATAAATTATATTTAAGTCATGATATAACTGACATGACATATAAAAACATTTCAACACGCTCGTTTTAAATACAGTAAAATGGCTGCCAATAATTTTGCAACGATCAACCAATTCCAATTTCTGGCAAATGGATGTGTTCTATATAAAAACTCAATTGAGTATTATGACTCAGACCCACACAGTGAGATGATATGTAACAGATACGTGTTATTTTCTTGTTCATTTCTTAGATGTCATTGACTTTTTTATTTAATAACGGTTTAAGCATACGGCTGACCTCAGGCAGTGATAAATATTTGGAAATATAATGGGGGTGTTCTGTAGATATTAAAAATGTAAGTAAATATAACTCTTGGTTTGCTAAAAAAGTAGTTTTGGTCATAAAATACAATAGCTTCCTGGCTGACCCGCGCACTTACTTGACATTTATAATTATATGTTGCCCAATTTACATAATATCTTTTTAAATTATAGCCTTTATGTTATTCTGATGTATAAGCTATATTACTGTAAAGTTTCATCAAAATCCGTTCAGTAGTTTTTGCGTGATAGAGTAACAAGCATCCATCCATACTTACAAACTTTCGCGTGTAGATGTAGGTACGCTCTCCTGATCTTCATCTCAAATTTCATTAATATCTGGTCAGCCGTTTAGTCATAGAGAGAGAGCAGAATAATAAACATACGGACAGACAATTTCATATTTATAATATTAGTATACATTATTTTTCCTATACAACCATTAGTTATAAATGACATGACATAAAAAAACACCTTCCGGTTACCGTTCGCATATCCGCAATATTTTGGCAATGATGCTGTCGGTCGAGAGTTACTGAAATTCTTATAATACTCGACCTTGTTTAAACTATGAATCATTTAGCTTTAAATAAATGAAAATTATGAATGATGCTTCAGCGTGGGTGCGAGTTTATGTATTCATAAGTTTATCTAATCTGTGGTTTTTTATGTATATACTTATTGTAAATTAAATATTGTATTGGCTGAAAACTGTGATTGATACAGCCTATGCTGTAAATGATATAAATGACGTAGTAATGTCGCTATAAAGTTCAAACTTGTGGTGGCGTGGTCGGCCGGGTCGATATGGCTGACTCGTCTGTCATACTCGTGAACGGGTGCTGATTGTGGGGACTGGTCTGTTCAGCAACAAGCATGAGCATAATATGAGCATGAAGTCAAGTCACTTAGATCATTATGACAAATTTTCCAAGAATTTGTCATGATGGTGTCCAGGGGAAACCGCGTGGAGGTCAACCTGACATGATACTTTGCTAGAAATGGTTTTACCTGTGGTTACAGGAATGGCAAACAACCTGACGATCCACCTGGAAAATGGCTTAATGGTTTACTTTCGATGGTTGCGGGTTTGATTCCTCGCACGGTACACACATTTGTATTCATGAGTATGATTGTTTGTGTCGGTCTAGATGTTTTCTATGTACATTGTGTACTAGCCAACCGTCCCGGCTTCGCACGGGCCAATATTTCTTTAACTTTTAAACTGTTCAACACTAACGTTTTTAGATTAGGATTAATATCATATTTCTAAAAGTACCTTCGTAAATAATGCATGTTTTAAGAAGAAATTGGATAAGATAGAATACAATATTCTTTATTCAAATAAACTTAAATTGGAACAATTTTGAATAGTCATTCTTTTTTTTTAATTTACGTCTAATTCGGAAAGCTTGTCATCATCATTATGAGACATCATCAGAAGAAGAACGAGAAAGAAACTTGAGTGTTGCTCTTTTAAATAATTCTAAAACTTTACGTTATTATTACTTATTTTAGATGAAATGTGTGAATACAAACTGCCAACATAGTGCTACTAAATCATCATACAAAAAATACAGTAAAATTAACAATAATAATATAGCTAATCCACATTATCGTTTTGCAGGATCTATTCAGTTAGAACATGGCGAGTCGTCAGGCGGGGTCTCGGCCGCGTCGGGCTACGAGAGCGACCTCCACAATTCTGACTCAGAGGACAGTTGGGAACATAAGTCTCGCAAGCACGGAATATTAACTAGAAAGGTCAGTTGTACATTAACAACCTTGGTGGCCTAGTGGTTTAGCACACCGCTTAATGCTCATGGTCGAGGGTTCGTTTCCTCGCACGGTACAAACATTTGTATTCGTGTATGTATCTACAACAAAATGTATCTAAGTATTTATATACGTGCCTTTTCTAGAAACTTATTGTGCACACAACCACATTGTGGAACCTTCCAGCAATGGTATATCCGAACTGATACCATATATAAACCTTCAATAAAGGAGTTATTCTTTCTTAAAGAGCCGGCAACGCACTTACAATTCCCCTGGTATTGCGGGTGCTTATGGGCGGCGGTAATTACTTGCCATCAGATGAGCCGCAACCTTGTTTGTCCCCTAGGCTATAAAAAAGAAACTATAGCTTGTGACTAGATAGTATTGTGTGAATCACCCAGGGGTACTATTATTATATTATACTATGCGAGGAATTGAACTCGTGACCAAAAGTGAGGCGGGATGCTAAACCACTAGACCACTGAGATCGTCAATTAAACATTCGTTTACATATGTGCGTTTTCAGGTTTCAGGTAAAAGCGTTCAGTTTCTACTATGTCCAACTTGCGGTCACGAGACCCCGCTACCCCTGGGGGGTATATCCGCCCTGCCACTGAACTATGTGCTGCTGCGGAAAATGATGGCCGCGGAGAGGGAGCGGGGCAAGGCCAGCGTACTTTGTGATCTTTGTAACAGTGACACTAAGGTAAGATAGCTTTGATCTCTGATATTTATATATATCGGGTGTGTTTTGAATAACGATTTTCAAAAGTGAAAAAAATAGTCTAAAGTGAAAATAGTTTCATTGCATTTTTATACATACGAAAAATAACAAAATGAATTTAAAAAGGATGATTTTTATTTTTGTATAAATCTTACTAATATAATAGAAACGTGAAAGTTTCTGAGTACGTATGGAAGTTTGTTACTTTTTCACGCAAAAACTACTGAACGGATTTCGATGAAACTTTACAGTAATATAGCTTATACATCAGATTGATACAGACTATCATTCTACGCTTTATTGTTTGAAATTAACACATAATTATTCAGTATTTTTTTAAGCGAAAGATATTTAATAAAAAACACATTTCATTCATTCATTCATAAATTTAAGAGCAGGGCTCTTGTCGGTGCAGCTCTTTCCACTTTCTACGATCTTCCATCATACTCTGATTTACTCTTACTTCTTGTACTATATTTATATATATATTGCTTTTCGACGCGTATTTTTTTATTATACCTGTATCCACCACTCCACAATTCCTTTCAGTCACTCAAAGGTTGACTGGAACATACCTTCTTTTGGGATAAGTCCGCTATTGTACCATTTATTTTTTTTAAGACATGTATCTGTTAACATTTTGTACAATAAATCATTACAAACTCTTTAAGCCTTAATGCGACACGACTCCAATTCTGTCTTTAATTTGTTTGATATTAAAAAAACACATACACTAAGTATAATGATGACCTGTCCGTTACTTAACTACATTTCTTCGTCTTCTGATAAATCACACATAATAAATACAACCAACGAGTGAGTATTACAACTCCCCCAATTAATATCGAGGATTGACAAATACAGTATTGCTAATGAATCCACGAAGATAAATGTGCTTTGTGTGTCACGAGAAGGTACGTATTTTAAGAGAACATATGGCGTTGAAGTGATGCATGGAGGTTACACGCGGAACGGCCGTTTCCAATTCCCATAAGTTTCGAGACAGCACATTTACTGTAATGATGGAATTAACTATTCAACTACGATTTTCAGCATTTAGAAAAAAATATACATTCACGTCTGTAATTCCAGAACTATGGTCGTTAAAGGCATACAAATTTCCTCCATAAATATTTTTTCATATTTTAAATTAAAAGTTTATATTTGTCTAAAATATGTATATGTATGTATATTTTTCTAAAATAAAAGTACATCAACTACCTCCCAAAATAAGTCCCGTCAAAATTGGCCCAGCCATTTCAGAGATTAGCCGGAACAAACAGACAGACAGACAAAAATTGTAATAAATGTTATTTTGGTGTCTGTACCATATTTATATTCATATGCATGTAATAAAAAACGGTTATTTCAATATTACAAACAGACACTCCAATTTTAATTATATGTACAGATAACATTTATTCAAAAGAGCAATACGCAACTTTTTTCTTGTGACGAATCTGCGTTTCGAATAATAAAAGTATGCGTATTCAAAAGTGCTTACATATATAGAGTTCATTTGAATATAGATTATTTCTATTTCACAACTCAGGCGGAGAGTCGCTGCAGTCAGTGCTTGGTCAGCCTGTGCAGTTCTTGTGGCGATTCGCACCACAGACAAAAGGCCACTTCACGGCACTCGCTGCACCCACTAGATCCTCTGCCCGTCAAGTACTGCAGTCAGCATCCGAAGGCTGAGCTCAGCGTCTACTGCGCTACATGCCAACAAGTAAACCAAAGTTTTTTTATGTACATGAATAGAATAGTAAAGTTACTGATTTCTCATTGGTTGTAAATACACGTTTCTGCCTGATTCTGCAGTCAGCCATCCGGAGCCTGATATAACAATGGATGTATGTAAGTACACCCATCTGTTTGTACTCGTATTCTATATACATGAACAACACTGGGGATGTTAGCAGTGATATTTGACAGATTATTACGTGCAATATTTAAAATAGACGATTTTGTATGAATAAAAAAAATCGTTGTTTGTAATTAATTTAGCGCAAAAAACACAGGCTTTATATAAAGTATGTAATATGTCATTTGTAGTAAAAAAATGTACCTTTTTTAATTCTTCACGTTGTTATTGTGTAATTATTGATTTAAAATAATATTTATGCAAAAGACCAACACACAAGTTTCTCCCGCATTCTTTTTGTGATAATTCTGCGTTCCGAATGAGTGGTGGAATAAAAAATATGACTATTCAAAAGTTGTATTGAGTTTATTTGAATGAAAGAGAAAGACATATTACGCCGACCCCAAATAAATGGGATAAGGAAGAAGCAGATGATGAGTATTTCTATTGCTACGGTGTATAGGTGATATGTCGGGACTGCTGCATCATAGCTCACTCGGGGCACGCACTAGCGAACGCGTCCCGAGCGGCGGCCGAGCGGGCCCGACTACTGCGGGACGCGTGCGAGCGAGCCCGGCTCGTGCCCGACAACGTGGAGCGAGCCACCCGCATACTAGACGACGAGGCGTTCCAAAGCGACGTGAGTATGTCTCATAAACTGCCTGTACGTGTAGTACACTCTTTCACGTGCGTATAGGCTTACACGCAGGAAAGAACGTATCTGTAAATGTATGTACCTGTATAAAGAGAACGAGTAGACTAAAATCTGTGAGACGATAACGAGTTTTCACAGATGTTATCTTCCAAAGACATTCATCATTTGTATAGTCCGAAATCGGCCATTTTGCAATGATAATGAATTATCACAAAAAGCTGCTAAAGCCGCATGATTGAAAAACTCGGGAATTCGCGAACTAGCGGAAACTGGTGTTTTTCGTTCTCTTTTTTTTAAATGCACACTCTTTCTGGCATAAAAGCTGTTCGCACACGTAATTTTGATTTTTTCGTACTATTCTAATGCTGGACAACTTTACCGGATAATAGAGTGCGAGTGCGGGTGGCACTCCAAATCCGAGGGCGTTGTTCCGATCGTTGTGGAGATTTTTGGGAGAGGTCTTTCTTCAGCAGTGGACGTCTTCCGGACTGAAATGGTTATGATGACTTATGGAGCGGCTTAAGGCCAACAAGGCTAGGGGTTCGAAACTCGGTTCAGGCCGTCGTAATTTCGATCCCCGTTTGAATCAGACCAGGAATCGATTGATTCGCCTTCAGCCGCTCCATTAGCTCTCCCGCAGGTTTGTAGTGCCTATTGCACTCGCTCTCTAACGTCCTGTGAAGTTGTAAAGCCCAGCTGCGGCCAACAGCATTAGAGTATTCTGGAAAAAAGTGAAAGAACGTGTCGTGTGAAGGTTGTCGTGTGTAGTCTGGCGCGGCGCGCGTGGAGGGCGAGGTGATGGCGTGGGCGGAGCAGTACGTGCGCGCGGCGGCCGTGCACGCCGCAGCACTGCGGGCGGCCGCCGCGCGCGCCCGCGCCCAGCACCGCGCGCGCGTGCGGCGCCGCCGTCGCGCGCTCCGAGAACGCGCACTGCACGCGCACCACGCCGTACACTTCGCGGAGGAGGTACGCACACGCTACACCACACCACACACACACACACATTCACAGACGCTCTTATACACACATACTCAACCTCCCACACACATACATTCATAGACGCTCTTATACACACATACTCAACCTCCCACACACATACAGTCATAGACGCTCTTATACACACATACTCAACCTCCCACACACATACATTCATAGACGCTCTTATACACACATACTCAACCTCCCACACACATACATTCATAGACATACACACATACTCAACCTCCCACACACATACATTCATAGACGCTCTTATACACACATACTCAACCTCCCACACACATACATTCATAGACGCTCTTATACACACATACTCAACCTCCCACACACATACATTCATAGACGCTCTTATACACACATACTCAACCTCCCACACACATACATTCATAGACGCTCTTACACACACATGCTCAGACATACTCGACTTCCAAAGAAGTTTCCTTCCGTGTACACTGACACGGTATTTCACTAACCACACACAAAATACACTCACAGACACAATTACACATAGACAAACTCAACTTTCAGAGGAACCTTCCTTCTGCGTGCACTAAAGTGGTATTTCACTCATCACACATAAATACACTCACAGACGCAATTACACATATACAAACTCAACTTTCAGAGGAACCTTCCTTCCGCGTGCACTGAAGTAGTACTTACTCATCACACATAAATACACTCACAGACGCAATTACACATATACAAACTCAACTTTCAGAGGAACCTTCCTTCCGCGTGCACTGAAGTAGTACTTACTCATCACACATAAACACTCACAGATGCACACACAAACACACAAACTCATGTTTCAGAGGGGCCTTCCTTACGCGTACACTCAAGCTGTACTTCACTCACGTGTGGTGAATAAAGTACAGTTTGAGTAGTAAGTACCATTTCAGTGTAATGTGTAAACATACACTTACATACACTTACATACTACACAAACTCGATTTTCAGAGGAGCTTACTCCCATATACACTGAAGCGATACTTCACTGCGGACCAGAGAGTCCTATTATACAAGTGTCAGGTTCGTTCACATGGAGTACGCTCGATGATTCCAATCTCTCTGGTGGTATCGAACCACTTAGTTTATATTGTCCAGAAAAAAAAAGGTTTTGCGTTATAGAAAAACCAAAAATCCATGCACCCATCGACACTCACAAACTTCCACATTATAGTAGATTACGGTTTTAAATCATTATTTCCAGCTCCTCTCAGAAGCTAAAGAAGACGAGCTCCTGTCCCTCAGCGGAGCGGTTCTCCGTCGCCTTGAACGGCTCACTGAACTGCAGCCACTATCAGATACCCCAAAATGTGAGCTGAGATTCGCTCCAACTGCTCCGGCCCCACACGACCCCACCCTGGTGGGGAGACTGTTCACTCAGGCCCCGGATCCTGAAAAATGTGTGCTGAACACTGAAGGTAATATCTATTGATACCACCGGTAGTCTAACGGCTTAGCATGCTATTTTACTGTGGTCGCAGGTTCTATTCCTCGTACGGTACAAACATTTGTATTCATGAGTATGATTGTTTGTATCGGTTTGTGTTTTCTATGTACATTATATATGTAGTATATTTCAGTATATCCATAATTTGTTTTATGGATACTAAACAAATTTGCTCTGCAATTTTTTTCATAATAATTAATATTATTTTAATTAATAAAACACATCCTCGGATTAGTTTGGGACTAGATGGCGCCATGTGAATTGTCCAGGGTTATCATTAGGTGGTGCTGGTGGGGCCACCAGCGTATACCGTTAGCGTAGAGCTGTATAAAGATATAGAAACAAAATATAAAGTAACAGGTTACTTGACATAATTCCAGGCCTTCAAGATCTCCAGGTGGATTGCGAGCATGAAGTAATATTAGAATTGCGTGACAGCAGCGGTGAACGCATTTGGTGTGGTGGTGAACAGGTAAGTTGAAACCAAGTTTAAAGTGTGAAGAAATAAAAAATCCGATAATCGTATTTATAATAAGCAGTCAGCACAGAGCAATTATCGTGTGGAGAAATCTTAAAAAGACAGGGAATTGGTTTTTGAAGATTTTGCCAAAAGGGTGACGGTTTTTTAGTAGGTAAGAATCCCATACACTAGCGATACTGAAGTGATGCTATTTATATCCTTAGGATAGAATGTGAATTTTCAGAAGATATTTCGTTTATGCCTGAGTGAGCTACTACCACATAGGATTTGTGATGTCGTTTGCTCTTCCATTTTGCCAAATCTTCAAGTTCTAGGCTAGTTGCCATGTGTTCAAAATCTACCCTGTATCATCGTAAGCACAGATATTATATTATATTAGAGACCGTTAGTTTTCTGTTCCCGCGCGTTCCCTTCCCCTCCCTAACTAGTAACAAACGGACCGTACAGCGGCCTTAACGTGCGCGCGCATTTGTTGTGAATTAAAATAAATTAGAACTGTGAAACCTACTGTGAAACTGGAAAGCTAGCGAAGATACCTTCGAGACCCTGAAGGCTAAGAAATCCGTAGAACCAAATCAGGTACGTAACAGACATAGTAAGTTCCCTAACATTTTGGTAGCAGAGAGTTTCCCAAACACCATGTGTTTATTTAATTTGCAGTGATTGGGCCGCCGTGTAAATAACGGCCCCATCTTATCGTTAAGATTATTGCGCACTACTCAGATAGGCCTAACTTAAGATCTAGTTGCATGTTTCACACACACACACACACACACATATATAAACACTTTCATCTTAAAGATATGGACATACATACATATATTGTTTAAAAATATGTTTCTTTTTCTTTAATTCTATTTTTAACACATAAAATTTAACATTGTAGATAATTTACTAAGTAGAATCGAAAGGTGTGTATTTTAAATTGTTTAAAAATATATTATTGTATATATAATATAATATATACAATATGGTCGTTGGGGCAATAAAGTCATCGAGTGGCGACCACGGACCGGAAGACGCAGCGTGGGAAGGATTCCAGCAAAGTGGACCGACGATATGGTCAAGATCGCTGGAAGGCATTGGATGCGAGCAGCGTAGGACCGATCGTCGTGGAGACATCTTCTGGGCTGTGATGATGATAATATACAATTCACTCCACTTGACTATAGTATGCTGGAAGGAAGTGATTTTCGAGGCATGCGAGGCATTTATTATTATATGTGTGTATGTGTAGGTGTGTGTATGTGATGTGTAGGTGTGTGTATGTGATGTGTAGGTGTGTGTATGTGTAGGTGGCGGGGCTGCTGCGGCGCCGCGACGCCCGCGCGGCCCCGGCGGCGGCGCGCGTGCGGGACCGCGGCGACGGCTCGTACGCGCTCGCGCTCGCCCCGCGCACCCCGGGCGCCTACCTCCTCGCCGTCACCCTGCACGACGCGCCCGTACGCGTACGTTACTACACCCGCACTCCACACTAACACTCGCAGGGGGAGGGGGGTATGGATTCACTAGCATGGGGAGGATATATATACACACGGGAGGGGGAATATATAGATACACTCGGGAGGGGGAGGATATGAATTCACTCGAATGGGGAATATAGAAGAGGGGAATCACTAAGAGGCTTACTCAGAGGGACAAGATATGGATTCAATCGGAAGTTCAGAAAATCGGAGGATATGAATTATTCACTCGTAAGGGGATTATAAATGATAATCAAATGGTCATTATCTTACCGATAAAATGAACATGAAGTCAGGTTAGTTAGCACATCGTAACCAATTCTCCCCGAACTTGTCAGAAAGGATTTTGATTGTTACGGTTACGAATATATTTTTATATCGGATATCCGATAGTTTTGGTTACGGTTATGGAGCTCCCTAACATCCCTAGTAAAAATACTGGTCAATTTTAGCATAACGTGTATTCACCGGGAATTATCCACGCTTGTTACTAGAGGTACCAGAGTAGAGGTCAATCTGACTTTGCTCTTAGTTTCCAACAAACAATGGAACAGTCCTTTCCCCGACATATAATATAGATCAGGGGTGGCCAACTTTATTAGACCCAAGATCTCCTGTTTACTATTGAAACCCTGTCCGATCTACCAATTACATACTTATTGAAATCTTCAATGTAACAGTTTTTTTTTCTTTTGACTCCGGTGAAACAGCATAGTTAAGTACAATCATGTAGTATTTTTTTATTTTATGAAGAGAAAAATATAAATGTGAAAATTATTCTTAGTAATTAGTACTTATTTAGCTTTACATGAGTATTGCGTCTGAGCATCTTCCACCAGTTCAGCATAATCAGGTTTGTAGTTGGTAATTGCCAACTTTTTTTACGGTTACGTTGCGCAGTCTGATCGACTTATTTATATTTTTTGCCTTTCCACGATCTACTGGACTAACAGTCGCGATCGACCTGTTGGCCACCCCACCCCACCCCTGATATAGAGTATGGTGTCCGCAGGGGAGTCCGTTTCTGTGCGCGGCCCGGGTACCGAAGCCGCACTGGGGCGTGTTCCACTGCTGCGCGTTCTGCTCGTCGGGCGGCCGCCGGGACGCCGTCTGTGGCTGCGGCGGAGTCATGCCCGGAGGATATAAAGGTACACACACCCACATGTTACCCGGAAGGATAGGGTAACCCATCCAATTCATTCTTAGTAATATTATAAATGTGAAAGTAGAGATATTTGTAAAGCTTTCACGTAAAAACTACTGAACCGATCATCATGAAATTTTGTATACATGTTCTTGGAGGTATTGGAATGATCATAAGATACTTTTTATTTTTTTTTATAAAAAACTCAAAAATATATTAATATTTAGGTACTTCAGCGACATCTAGAAGCTAATGAAGTTAAAATCAATTATAAATCAGCGCTGTCTAGCAGCCAGTAATGAAGTTATGCGAGCGAAGCCGGTAAAAGCTAGTATAGCTACCTAATGACGAATTTAAACTTCTGGTGTATAAGGTCTAGATATTATTATTAAAGGCCAAATTGAAACTATTTTAACTAAATACTTTCAGCTGACATGTGTCCCACGACAGTACAGCCAGGTGACTATTTTTTATCTTCAATATATAGGTTTGACTATGATTTAACAGGTTTGATTATGATTTAATTGAAACGAGAGGAAGACTGTGTTTTTACATGTTTGGAGGGTACCACTCCTCAAAACCCTACCCTACTATCCTTGAAACCACAGCTGAGTCTCCCTAAACTCACAAAACAATTTTCTTAACCATCATAAAAGTTTTGACCAGGTAGGAAACAATGGGAAACAGGCGTCGTAGGAATTGTCAATGGTTATAATTATTACTCCACTCTATGAACAAAACACAGCTTACAAATAATGCTGCGCGATGGCTGAAGTAGGTGAGACGGCACAATTTGGTGATATGAACACTGCATTAACTCCAAGACTACTAATAAATTAATAACAATTAAAAATTATTTTCTAAAATGAAGAATTTAATAGATAACGGCCTCGGTGGTCTAGCGGTTATGAAACCGCCTTACTTCCGATGGTCGCGGGTTCGATTCCTCGCACGGTACGAACATTTGTGTCGGTCTGATATAATATATATGTATTTAACAAGAAATCTATGTATTTATCAGTTATCTAGTACCCATAACACAAGCTTTAGGTAGCTTAATTTGGGACTAGATGGCGCTGTGAATTGTCCTGAGATTATTATTGTTAATAATATAATATAACGTGAACCAGGGTGCGGGCACGGTCACGCGGGGTGGCCGGGCGCGCGGCACTGGTCGTGCTGCGGACGCACCGCGCGCGCCGCCCCCTGTGCGGGGGCCGGGCCCGCCCCCGCCCCCGCCGCCCCCTGTGGGGGGACCGGACCCAGTGGGGGGGCCGGGCCCGCAGCCCCCGCCGCCCCCGCACGGGACGCCGAACTCTACCAGTTCTCGCTGTAGCACCACTAGCATCACACCACACCTACTAATAAATTATATCTCCACATTAGTTGTTTCTTTATTGCACCTTATAAAAATTAAAAACAACAGAATATTTAAAGCAGTGATTCCCAAAGTGGGTAGTGGGTCTATGACAAATTGCAAGGGGTCTACGACAGCGGTCATTTGTTGTTTTTACTTTGAGTTTCTAAAGCTAAACATTACTACAGTTAGACATTTACAAAAAATCAATACCAGGTAAGAATGGGGGAATGGGGTCTTCCCAAAACAGGAAAGTATGATGTTAGGGAAACTACTCTCTGCTACCAAAATGTTAAGGAATTTACTATGTATATATATAGGGAAGCGTCTGTCTCGTACCTGTATGGTTCTGCGGATTTCTTGGGCTTCAGGGTCTCGAAGATATCTTCGCTAGCTTTCCAGTTTCACAGTAGGTTTAACACAGTTCTAATTTATTTTAATTCACAACAAATGCGCGCGCGCGTCAAGGCCGCTGTACGGTCAGTTCAGTACTAGGTAAGGGAGGGGAAGGGAACGCGTGGGAACAGTAAACTAACGGACTCTAATATAATAATATGTGCTTACGATGGTACAGGGTAGATTTTGAACATATGACAAGGGGTCTACGACACAAAAAAGTTTGGGAACATCTGATTTAAAGTATGTAGGTACAAAACGGTCTTATCACTTAAACGAACTCTTCCAGACAATCTTTAAATAGAGGAGAAAAGACAGAAGGTAGTTTAGCCACTCATCTGTAGTATCCGGAAGAAAATGGAGAAGTGATCAAGAGACAAGGACCAGAGATTAACTAATTTGTAGAGAATCATAAGATGCACCCTCGTGCATCTCTCATCATTATATAACTCAATAAAAACCCAATCATCTATATAAGACAAGTACTTAATATATATAAATATCCAACAAGATACAAATTATTTCTGAATGTCTAAAAAAAATTGGTAATATAATTTAAAACACAATAATAGTAAAGCTCTTTACTAACCCATATCGTACGTGTGTAATAACAATTGTACTAGCATGTGAGAAGTGAGGGAAGGGGGGGGGGGCTGTTAGTAATGTGGACTAATGATTCCATTGCTAACAATGTACCATGTCAGGTCGACCTCCACGCGGTTCCCCCTGGAAACCATCGTGTTAAATTCCTAGTGAATTTGTCACGATGAGCTAACTGACCTGACCTCATGCTCCATCTTATCATCCTCCACTGGTGCCCCGCCAGCGTAAACCGTTAGCGCAGGAGGGTGAACCATTCCATTATTATCCACAAAAAAAAATTCAGGGGGGAGTACTATGTCAGATTGACCTCCACGTGGTTACCATCGTGATAAATTCCTCGTGTATTTACCTGACCTGACCTCATACTCATTTTATCATCCTCCACTGGTGCCCCGTCAGCGTAAACAGTTAGCGCAGGCCGGTGATCATTCCATTATCATCCAATTATACGAAAAAAAATTGAGAGGGAGGGGATTGTTAGTAATGTGGACTAATAACCCTACTACTTGCAATGTAGCATGTCAGGTTAACCTCCACGAGGTTCCCCCTGGAAACCAGTGCATTAACTAAAAAATAGAAATGTTGCACATTTCTATTTTTGAGTGTAAGGCTGAAACCAAAATGATATTTTACCAAATAAAAGGAATATTTCAAACGTATTTACAAATATATTCAAAAGTACAACTCACTTCTACTTTACAACATTCATTTAAATAAACGAAGGAACTCCATCTGACAATCATAAAAAAATATAGTCCAAAATCGATGTTACAAATTAAATTGTCTTTATATTTTATTTAGTTATAATATACGTACTTATAAGTTTACAACCAGACAAAACAATGATACAATGAAAAAATAAAATTATTACATCATTCACTACAACAGTCAAATCATTCCATTAATTATAAATGCTAAAATTAACTAAGTTTATTTTCCAATTGGGTTTGAAACGCTGAATAGATATAAATAAAATTTTGTAATAAAATCATAATCATTACATAGTATAAAATAAAGTCGCTGTCGCTGTCTGTCCGTCCCTATGTAGGCTAAATCTTTAAAACTACGCAACGGATTACGAAGCGGTTTTTTTAATAGATAGAGCGGATCTACAGGAAAGTTTATATGTATATATAATACATGTACACCCGGGCGAAGCCGGGGCGAGTAGTTAGTTATTATATAAATGATGACATTCAATAAAAATGGTTGAAGTCAATAAAAACTACCATACCTTTTAGTTTGACGCAATTTACACAGACAGCCTAATTTCATAAGAATTATTTAAGAATACACTTAATATGTGTACTAAGATATTTTCAACGTATCGCGAATATGTTAGGTTTAGTTTCCATAAAATTATCACAGACTAATATCACATTCGCTGGATTACAATACATATTAAAAAAATCAATCAGAGGAGCCCATAATTGAAATATCATTAAAACTTATAAGTACATGAATTATTATACTTAAAAACTACTTATAAATATACTAAAACATTTTGAGACAATAGCTAAGGTAACAAAATGTATAATAAAAATAGTATTGAATGAATTATAATATTTCCAATGCATTTATAACAAAGAAAAAATTAAAAATCAGATCAATATTGATACAAATATAAAAATTTATACATTAATACAGTGCATAATTCATAATAATTCAATTGAATGTTGTTGTGAGTCTGTTTTGTCTTGTTGTGATTCAAGTTTCACGTAAGTGGGATCCCAATAACTTTGTATGTGTGAGAGATACGGGATCGACTTAGACAGACGACTCAGACTGGGTAACCAATCGATCACATACATAGTGAGATGGTCTGTACTTGGACTGAGTGAGCGATAACTTTTTTTTACTTAGAATAACAAACAAGCTATTGGTCATTCCGACAACCGATGACACATATAGTGAGACTGTCAAGACTTGAACTGAGCAATATTATTTTTAAATAGCAATCAAATGATGTTATGGTAAGTTGTAAGCGTTTATATGACTACTCATGTATTGCCATTTTGGAGGAATAAGATATCATGGCTCCATAACCTGTAATTTCACTGTCCGATCCTCACTCTCAAAGGAAACACATCTTACAAAGCAGCTTGTGTGGTGGCTGAAATATGTGAGACTGAGCCATGCAGACATTTACTAATTTACCTGAGTAATACAAGATAGAGGCATTCAGACTGAATTACTGTCAGTGGTTACTGATTCTGTAGGTTGGGGGCTGATTAGACTCTTTCAACATAGGAGCGATTATTTAAGATGATAAAGATTGTTGAAATACCAAGAATACATAGGGTTCAGATTTCGAGAAACCATGAAGTCACTTAGGGCGTGGTCGCTGATACTGGTTGTTGAAATATCAAATAAATGCATTCGACCAAAAACAAGTGAGCAAATACGAACCGCTGCTCCAAGTTAAATGGTCATGGAGGCTTGCTGTGGTAGGTCGCCCTAGCAACGAGAAGGGGCTTGTTCTACACCATCTGAAGGGCGGGGCGACGCCGTCAGAGTAAAATGCTAATGTGATTTTGTTTCTCTAGCAAGGGCGCTCGTAGGTACACAGTGTGTTTTTTTTTGTGGGTAAGAAACCTATACATCTTTCCGTCACCCCTCTAGCGGGGTACGGTTTTTTGAAGATTTTCCACATGATAAAATATTAAGATCTGGCCGCTGATACAGGGTGGTGTGTTACCGAATGCTTACAAGCGGAGACGCACTCACAGCCCGAGCGAGCGCACGGGCACGTAGTCGGGCGGTGCGGGCGCGCACGCCTGCCGCACGCTCATCTCCCACGCGTCCAGCAACTGGCTCACGGAACAGTTCTTTGGAAGGCTGTAAAACATAATAACATATATTAATGTAATAATACTGTAGCTGCCGTATTTACCTAGCTTAGGTAAATAACAGTTTTAAAGCTTTTTCTCTTCAATTACTTGCGGGGCGGGGCGGGGCGGGGCGCGGGGCGGCGGGGCGCGCGCGAGGCGCGGTCGAGGCGCGCGAGGAAGGCGTGCGGCGGGCGGGAGCGGCGGGGGGCGGGGCGGGCGGGGCGCGGGGGGCACGTACCTGGCGAGGCGCGCGTCCAGGGCGCGGTCGAGGCGCGCGAGGTAGGCGTGCGGCGGGCAGGGGCGGCGGGGGGCGGGGCGGGGGGCACGTACCTGGCGAGGCGCGCGTCCAGGGCGCGGTCGAGGCGCGCGAGGAAGGCGTGCGGCGGGCGGGAGCGGCGGGGGGCGGGGCGGGCGGGGCGCGGGGGGCACGTACCTGGCGAGGCGCGCGTCCAGGGCGCGGTCGAGGCGCGCGAGGAAGGCGTGCGGCGGGCGGGGGCGGCGGGGGGCGGGGCGGGGGGGGCGCGGGGGGCACGTACCTGGCGAGGCGCGCGTCCAGGGCGCGGTCGAGGCGCGCGAGGAAGGCGTGCGGCGGGCGGGGGCGGCGGGGCGCGGCGTGGGGGCGGGGGCGCGCGGGGGGCGCGGCGGGGTAGTTGCGCGGCACGAGCACGTGCAGCGGCGGCACGCACGGCAGCCGCGCGTCGTCCAGCGCCGCCACCAGCGAGATGGCGCCGCCGCCGCCCGCCAGCTGCATCGTCTCCAGCGACACCTGCACACACACACACACACACTATGTTATAACCTCCAATACAACATCATTAACAGGTAAACAGTGAGGTCACTGACCCGGCTATAGGCGGACACTAATTAAAACATTGCGATGTCTACTACACCTCATGCGTCGCTATACCAAACGTGAAGTGCACGGAATAAATCCCTATAATTTCACTATTGTAGCTAATCTATCACATCTGAAACATATCTCGCAAAAACAATCTTCGCGCAACAAAAATAAGTGAGATGAGTTAGAGTAAATTACCTTAAACCTGGAGTCTAGTCTGGCTATTTCACCCTGCAGCACATCTGGTATATCCATAACCGGTTCCTCAGTCTTCGGTACTTTATAAGGTGGCGGTAGATTCCTGTTAAAATAAATACATACAGACTATGGGGAATGATATTGAGTATTTGTATAAAAAGAATGATTAGATAATTAATATCTATAAAGTGAATGCAATATTGAGAGTTGTTGCCAAGGTATTGTCATGGTACAAATATCATGTGTTACCAGTGATAAAACTGGTGTACTGCCTTTCCCGAGGTCCCAGACGCTATTTCAGAGATTATAAAGGTCTTTCCGGAGGTTACAGATGCCATTCCAAAGATATTACACTCAAAAGTTTTATATTTTTACTAACTTGATCTCGGGGCCGTTGAGAGCATCGAGCGTGGAACCGAAGGTCCTTTTCAGTGTGTGATTGGACAATGGTGACTGGAGACAGTTGTTCACCACCTCAAGTAGCGGATTGAATATTTGCTCCTGTAACAAATACATCATACAGTCAATAAATATATTGTGTTTGTTAATATTATTTGGTGTCTACGCCCTTCGCCGCTTCGGATGGTGTGGGTATTTCTGTGGCAGATCTTCCATTACCGTCCGAAGTAGGCTGCTGTGTAGGCGTGGAGATCCCCTTGACCCGGAACAGGACCTTTTTAAAGCCAAGGTTGACTTTATAGTCCTGTGTTTTGAGGAAGTCAACCGAAGGCTCATCCAGAGATACGGTCAGGACTGTACCGTTCTCTTCAGCCTTACGGTTGAGTATTTTCCACAGTTCGGAATTTAGGCAGTCATTTTGGGACTTCAGCATTCTGAGTATCGACCGACCTTGTCCCCGAACTGGGGATGAAGGCCGTTCCAATGGCTGGTTTGGGCATCGCTCTCTCGTCCAACACAGAGAGTTCTAATAATAATAATATTATTTAAATTTAAACTTATTCTGAAACAGGTTGAGTAACTTTTAAGAACCTTTTCATGTCTGAAAATAAAAAGGCATATTTTTTATACCCTTAGGTTAGTCCGTTTATCCTAAACATCTTTAATTAAGTAGGTCTATTCCAGACTCTTATGATATGTCAAATCTACCATCAGGTCGGAGTGTTTTCGAGCTAACAAGGACTGACTGAATTTAAAATTGGATGACTATTTTTGTAATTGCTCAAGTTCAAATAAGCTTGAACAATTACAAAATCAGTGATCCAATTTTATAATTCAATTAGGGAGAATGTAGTAACCACCAGCTTATACTATTGTGTTTTTGTCCAGGGGAGATAATTAAATTAGTAACCGTAACCGTAACAGAGGAGTCAGGGGGGCGGTGTGAATCGACTGGGAACACGCCCCGTTTGATTGCAAAAAAAAATCGAGATGTATAAAAAAAAAAGCTGTTATTCACCTTCCCAGTAGTGGGCATGCCCACGCCGACGCCCTCGCCGCGTCTGAAATCCAGTTTCTCCAGCACCACCTCGCATTTGATGAGCGTCTCCAGAGGCATGCGCTTGTTTGGGTTCGATAAGATGTCCAGTAGGTTTTTCATCTTTGTCAACTTCTCCACATCTGATTACAAATATTAAGAATAATTACTGTTATATCTCGACCAGCTGTTTTAATCTCTCCTCTGTAGCTTAAGGTTGGAGGAAATCGCTATTTAGCTATAAGGCCGCCCATGGTTACCCCGTTATATATATTATATATACATATCTTGCTGACCTCGTATATCTTACTCATAGTAATATAATAATAATAATCGTGGACTGACTGACGTGAATTCACACAGCTGGCGCTGTTTAATCCTAAGCTAAGCTGAACTGGTGTTATGGGTATTAGAAAACTAAGAAGAAGACTGTAACACAGGTTTTCCTAGGTTCCGTTCCATTTTCTTATAATACCTTATTGTTAAAAAAAAAAGTATAAATACACAGATACATTGCTTTTGTAAACACATACATAGTATACATACTCGTAGAAAACAGCCAGACCGATACAAACAATCGTACTCATGAATACATATGTAAGTGAACCCACGTCCAATGGAATTAAGGTAGAGGGAAACCGTTAAACCACCGAGGTATGTAATAACGTAACATTGAATACTTACTCTCTCCTTCGCTCACCATCCGGTGCACCATTCTGCGCAGCGGTTCAATATACTTGGACAGCTGGCGGACTTTGTCCTTGTAGGCGGCCTCCTCGCCGCTAGGGGACGCCACGCCGGCCCCCACGGGGGTGTTCAGTGACGACGAGGGGGACGCCACCATACCCATGCCTACCCCCCTGGAATAAAATTCTTATAAATGTTCCAGTTTGTAATATACAGAAATCGATGATGCGGACAGTTCAGTGGATGGTTAGCTAGCCTTTAATACTAGAGTATTTTTTATTTCTTTATTACTTTTTATTGCACTTGATATGAAATATAATGAACATAATTTTTAGAGTATGAAGGTACAAAAGGCGGTCTTTTTACTTTTGAATAAAGGAGAATGATGGTAGATGAGTTTAGATGACGCATTAATGGAATGAAGCAAAAAATAATAATAAAATATGCTAAAATTATATTAGGAGTAAACAATAATAATATATGTACATATATGAAATATATACACATGCTATGAACATATATGTATGTAGCCATAGGCAAGGTTTTTGATAGTGATGGTTTTTACAATAGTTTACAATAAAAAATCTATGTATTTTGTCTTGAAGCTGAATACATAGATTTACCTTATCTGTTACTGATTGTTGAGTCAGCTCATGGCCATTGTCAAATCAATAGATAGTCTTTTTTGGCTTTTTGAGTGAGAAATTTTAATACTTTTTTTTATTTGGATAAGGTCACTAATACCATGAATAATAATATTTTTGTGGCATTAAAAAATATATACAACGTTAAATTTTCACCCTTCTATCATCAACCCCTATTTTTTAATAGCGATTTTAATTTATATGGCAAAACAACGTCAGCTAGTTTCATATAAAATATTGAAGCGTTAGTGTGGCGAGTGTAGCGGGCGGTACCTCTGGTGGGGCGCCACGTGGTGCGGCAGGTGCTGCGGCGCGGAGGGCGAGGGGCTGCCCACGCTGCCCACGCTGCCCACGCCGCCCACGCCGCCCACGCACGCGCCCAGCGCGCCCAGCGACATCGGCGACGGCATCGTGCCCGCGCCGCCCATCACGCCTGTCACACACCAATCATGAACTTATGTAATGCCAAAATAATACATAAAATATGGACTATATTAGGAAGGCAACACGAAAAGTTAGACTCCAAGAGTAAAGGACCGCAATATGGAAAAATTTGAAGGACGCCTATTTCACATCACGACAAACTTTAAAATTTAGAAGAAAATAATCAATTATTTAAATCTTATTAATATTATGAACATTAAATGTTGTGAATATGGATGGATATTTGTTACCCTTTCACGCAAAAACTACTGAGCTGATTTTAATGAAACTACATTAATATAGCTTATACATCAGAGTAACATATAAGGTATAAAGTACATGCGGGTGAAACCACGGCCACAGATAGTAATGCATATAGAAATGTATGTTCCGATACTAGAGATATTTTGTGAACCTTGAAACTGTATCAACAGTGGGGAAGGGAATTGGTAGGAATGTGGACTAATTGCTAGAAATGTTCATGCTATGGTATAATGTTTATATAAGTAACATAAAAAAGAACATCCAAACCAAGAAATAGTGCCAGCTAGATATATTGACGAATTCAGCATTAACCAGTTATAAAAAATATTCAAAATGGAGCTCACCCATAGAAACAGGACTAGGGCCACCCATATTCGGTGAGGGGGCAGATGGCGAAGGGCTCTGCCTCAGAAACTGGTTGGGGGGCGGAGCCCGGGCTTGCGTGTACCCGCCGAGCATGCCACCAACTACCTCCTGCTTGTTCTGCACCCGATTTTGCATGTGCAACATATTCATGCCAACAATCTGATTGTTCCCCATGCCGCCAACTGAAAATAATTATAAATACTGTGTTATTGGTACGATGCGGAAAAGAAGACGCGCATCCTTCGTGCGGAGTAAGTGCCAGTACCAACAGCAGGGGGAAAGGGGATTGTTAGTAATGTGGTCTTGTGACCTATTACTAGCAATGTACCATGTCAGGTTGACCTCCACGCGGTTTTCTCTGGAAACCATCGTGATAAATTTCTGCTAAATATGTCACGATGTGCTAACTAACCTGACCTCATGTTCATCTTATCGTCGTCCACTGTTGCCCCGCCAGCGTAAACCGTTAGCGCGGGCGGGTGCACCATTCCATTATCATCCATAAAAAAAAGTACCAACAGCATCCTGAGCATGACTGCAAGCAGGCTGGACTATGTGTATGTCAATTTATGTTACATTTTCTTTGGAAATTGCACAGCAGGGATTTTTATTTTCATTTTATTTTAATGTAATACTTATCTTTGTTATTATTTATACTTTATTTTTGTGTGTGTAATTTGTGCCTGTACGTACTAACATTAACTATAAGAAAAGTGTCAATCATCATAAACCTTCATCATATATCATCAGTTATTAACATAAGAAAAGTGTCAATCATGTCAGCAAAAAAACTGCTAATCATCACCTATAGACAGGGTGATCCCTATCTATAGGCAATGATTAGCAATTTTTTTTCAAGTTAGTTGACTACTACATGCTTGTTTTTTTAGTGTCATAATAAAATATAAAATTCTAAACTCACCCATTTGTCCTTGCATCTGGCCCTGCATTGAGTTAGGTGCCATCTGTCCGCCCATGCCACCAACAACCTGGTTGCAAGGCATCTGACCTCCCATTGTACTAGTTGCACTCATTGGCACCTGCATGCTATTTGGCATTGACATATTTGGCATCATTTGACCCTGGATCCCTGGTCCGCCTAGTTGATTCTGCAGCTGATTCCCCATAGGATTTCCCATGCCACCCATACCACCTACCATGGTATTCCCCATTTGGCCTTGGTTAGGAACCATTCCCATATTTCCCGCCATTTTATTCTGCATTTGCATATTCATCTGAGGTCTTTGTGTCATTGTTTGTAGCAAGTTCGTAGCTGTCTGAGCTTGGGGTCCCCCTTGGGAGACTATAGGACCTTGCTGTCCCATTTGAGGTTGCATGCCCATCCCTGGATTTGGTCCCATGACCCCTTGCTGCTGCATCTGCCCCTGTGGTCCCATGTTCATCATCTGATTCCGGGAACCCTGTGATGCCAAATTTTGCAGGGCATTTATTGGGTCTGTAGTCATGCCCGACTGGTTGCTGGGTCCTGGCTGACCTTGGCCTGGTTGATTTTGTACTTGTGAGTTTGGGCCTTGTTGATTCTGATTACCTTGCATGGATGGACCACCTTGGTTTGGTTTTGATTGAGCTAGATGAAGAAGATATAATAAAAGTTAAGGAAGCTATTTTTTTATACAAATGTAAAATAGTCATGGTTTTATTTTCTTTTACTTAGCTTATTCAGATGTTTTGTAGGCATAAATTACTTAGTAATTTAGTTGAATGGAAAGGATTATCTTTAAGGATTTGTTTGTGAATATTTACATTATGTGTAGAATATGTGTATGAATATGACATACCAAAAGATAACAGCCTTGGTTTTATATTTACGAATATTAATAATTTGATCAACATTTGTATATTAGATAAATAAATCATAAATTTCTTTATCTATTGGATGAATGTATATTGTTTGTTTAGAGATGTATAGATAAATAAGTAATTGTATGGAAAATATTTATTATTAATATTATAAAAGGAGATAGAGATAGTAAAAAAGAGAGAGAGTGAGAGTTAATTTAAAAGTTAAATAAAAATATAAACACCAGAACTACTACATGTTAACAAATTCTTTCACTGTTTGTAAGGTATATAATTCCATATTTAATATATGATGTTAATATCAACAAAAGTCATACAATTGAGAAGAAGGAGAAGACTCAACTTTTCTTTAATAAATATAATCAATAATAAACTTACACATTTCTCGAACATGAAGGATAAGTTTAGCAACCATGTTCATATACTCTTCTCTCGTTTTTGCTTTAGAAAATACATGATTCTCCATTTCGCTGCTGTTGCGAGCCACTTGCATTCCAGACCTCTGGATAACATCCTCTCTGCAAACAAAATAAAACCCATGGTCTGTGATATTATACCTGCTATGCCAACCCGAATTTTTGGGTTTCAAGAATAAAGACTACTCCAGTGGGTGCAGTGGTATGTATGGAGGCAGAATGTATACAACAGTGAGCAAATGAATGGATTAAAGAATACGTACATTTTAGTCACAACATTTTGTCGAAAGGTCGGCGTTCTCCAATCGTCACTGCCCATTGCATTAAAATTTTTTAAGTTGTTATCCATTTTTAAAAATTTACTGTATTAAATAAATCACAAGTAAAATGTTTTTTAGTTTTCGGAGCATGTATACTCTAATTTTGATTATTATACTTTCTTTTTCTGAGAACAAACGCTAGTACGATATACCTCATCGTCTGTTTTGTGAATTTTGAATGACTGACGATTGACACGACAATATACTGTAAACCATGATCATAATGACTGGCACCACCACAGAAAACCAATATCCAATCAATAATAATCTTACTGGTACCATAGAGTAAATATGCAATAACATGGTAAGTACATAACGGACGGACACGTAAATAGATTATAATCAAATAGTTTTTTTTTATAATTGTGTAGATAAAATATATTGAATAAAGTAACAGGATATTCAAGAGAGGTATATTAAAAAAAATACGTTTTGGATCATAAGCCGTCAGTTTTGTGTCAACTGATATAAATACTGATAGTCTTGACAGATTGACAGTTCACTTCACACGGATTTGTATTTTGTTAGTAAATTTGGTTTACGTTTTTGGTCTCGAATGAATATAGGAAGGTTTCAGAGTTGTCGAAGAAGGATTGATTTTTTTGGATTTTTTTTTGGGGGCGAAGTGTTTGACGAGTACACGTGCGTTAGTGAGAATTTAAATTTAAATTAAAATAAGTCTTTTGTACGACACTTTAAATCTTTTTGGTGTATTGTGTTAGTGCTGTATATGTGTGTTGGTGGTGGTTAGTATTAGTTAGTAGTAAAACTATTTGTATAAACTAATTTTAAATAGTAAATCGACTTAGACACAACATGGATGGCAATGAGCCTCCTGATGAACCCCCCGACCCATCTGGTGACTTATTTGTTTATTCACCTGTCTTAACAGTGCCATCAGAAGATTTCGAGACTTCAACTAGGAAAAGAACCCTAGACCCCACTTCAGAAAATCCAACTCCTAATAAAGTAGCAAAACAGGTAGTAGGGCGAGTAAAATACTCACATGCCGATAAATCCCGCTATCTTGTTTACGTATCACGGATAGAGACAGACTCTCAATCAGGCACTACCATTCATCCTATTAAGTTTGGACAATTTTTATATCAAAATAAAATTGCTAATATTCTGCCAGATGGTGTTAAACGTGTAGGCCGCAATAGAATATCGGTAGAGTTTACAACAGCTGCTGATGCAAATGCATTCCTATCTAACAGTTTATTAATACAAAAAGGCTATACAGCAGTTATTCCATCATATAATGTCACTAGGGTAGGTCTTGTCCGTGACATTCCAACAGATTGGACACACGAAGACATAATAGAAAACATAAAAGTCCCAACTGGTTGTGGACAAATTATTAAAACAAGAAGACTATCAAGAAAAGTTACTTCCAATGAATCAGTTGAGTGGAAACCTACTCAAACAGTAGTTTTAACATTTGATGGACAAACCTTACCAAAACATGTTTTCTGTTGTTATAATTCTCTTCCTATAGAGTTATACCAATATCCCATAGTTCAGTGCTATAGTTGTTGCCGATATGGTCACACAAAAGATAAATGTAGATCGAAGCCAAGATGTTATAAATGTGGGCAGAACCACCTAGGTTCCTCCTGTGACTTTTCAGAAACTGAAGCTTCTTGCCTTCACTGTTCTGGACATCATTATGCAACTAACCGAACTTGCACTGAATATCTAAGACAGAAAAACATAAAAGCTATGATGGCTGAACAAGCAATTTCATATGATGAGGCATCTAAACATATTCCACCTGCTACCCGTTCATATGCAGACGTCACAGCTTCAATGTCTCATCGTCAACCTCCTACATCCTATCACCAACCTAAATTTACATCTCAAAACAAATTAGGAAAATCAAATCAAAACGCTACAACATCGTACAAAAAAACTATTTTCCTAAAACCCAAATCCCGCCCTGCCCAGACACCTGGGTATGACCGTCATGCCCATGAAGAAATTGTTAATAGTTATGTCTTTCCCTCTACTATGAAAAATGGTTGTGCTCTTTCAAAAAATCCTCCTTCTCTATCTAGTGACTCCCCACAAGAAAACCCCCTTAAGACTTTAGAACTAATACTTAATATGTTAACTTCATTCATATCAGAAAATAATATAACAATTCCAGACCACGTTGCTGATCAAATTGTATCTCTTGCTTTTATCAAAAACCATAATGGATCTAAAAGTCCTACAATGGAATGCTAGAAGCCTACGAAGCAAAAAACACGAACTCTCTTACCTTACTAAAAAATACCAACCCACAATTCTCAGTATAACTGAATCTTGGCTAAGGCCAGGTTCAGTTTTTAACTTTCCTGGATATTGCAGTTATCGGGATGACAGACAGGATGGTTATGCTGGATCTGTCATCTTAGTTGAGAACTCACAGTCTAGTTCTCTCATCAATCTACCTCCTCATGCTGATGATATCAATATTGTTGCTGTGAGAGTTTTAGACATCTCCATAGTTTCCATTTATGTTGCTGATCCTCAATCTTGTTTGATTCCCTATTTAAAAAGTATAATAGAAAATTTACCCCCACCAATTCTGGCCCTAGGTGACTTTAATGGACATCACTTTTCATGGGGATCTGAAACCTGTGATCATTTTGGTTCACTATTATCAGAGGTAGTAGATGAACTAAACCTATGTGTTCTTAATGATGGTTCACCAACTCGTAGAACCTACCCAGGTCAACGCAAAAGTTGTGTTGATGTCTCATTATGCTCCCCAGATCTAGCCTCTCTTTTCCATTGGTCGTGCTTACCAATGTCTCACAGTAGTGACCATTTCCCGATTCTCATCTCTTTACCATCTAAGATACTTTCACAGAAAAATCTACCACCTCTATTGAAATACCGCCTATCTGCAGCTAATTGGGATTTATATACTGAGTTGACAGAAAATAAAACTAACTCTTTACCTATAATAAATCGAAATAACATTTTAGTCGCATATTCAAAGATGATAGAAGTTGTTGACAGCAGTGCGAGCGAAAGCATCCCTCTCAAAAAGCCTAAACGACAGAAAGTTTCACCTCCGTGGTGGGACAAAGAGTGCACTGCAATGATAAAATCCCGTAACGAAACAGAATATGCCTATAATACTGACATGACATTAGAAAAGTTCATCAAATTTAAATGTACATCTGCTAAAGCGAAACGCTTGTTCCATAAGAAGAAACGAGATAGTTGGAAACAATTTTGTGACAGTCTCACACCTCGCACACCTTCATCTCTTGTTTGGCGTAATATTAATAGGTACCGAAAGGCATGTATTTCTCGAGGCTCCTCAGCAATGTCAAAGGAAACAGTAGAAATATTATTTGACAAACTGGCCCCTCCATCAGTACCGGCTCAAGATGTATGCCTCACCAGCCTTAATAATTTTACTGTTCAGGACAGTGTTTTAGATGATACATTTACCATGGATGAATTAAACATCACTCTTTCTAGTGTACGCGACTCCTCCCCGGGAGTTGATGGGATTCCTTATTCATTCATTAAGAATGCTGATCCATCATTGAAACGGTACTTTTTAGACATACTAAATTACATTTACAAATTTTGCACACTGCCTCCTAGTTGGAAAACACAAATTATTATCCCTATATTGAAACCCGGTAAACAACCAGATAATGCAGAAAATTATCGCCCTATTGCCCTATCATCCACACTTATGAAGCTATTAGAACACTTAATAAAAAACAGGATAGAATGGTTTGTGGAAAGTAAAGGACTTCTCTCCAAATCCCAGTTTGGATACCGCAAGGGCTTTAGTACACTGGATAGCATAGGAACACTTGTAATGGATGTGAGGGCTTCATTTGTTAAAAAACAGTCAGTGGTAGGAGTATTCCTTGATATCTCAGCTGCATATGATAACGTTTGTCTTTCAGTACTCAGGCACAAGTTGCAAAATCTGAATATCTCAGCAAAGATGATCCGGATTATATGCAGTCTGCTAATGGAAAGACAAATCAGCCTCCGTGCTCTAAATAATCCGAGTCAAGCAAGAACTGTCTGGACAGGTTTACCACAAGGCTCAGTTCTAAGTCCCTTGCTATTTAGTATTTATACTCATGATTTACATCTATCATTGAATGACAATTGCCGCATACTTCAATATGCAGATGACTTGGCTCTATACATCTCTGATAAGGATATTTCCTCTGCTGTATCCTCTATGCAGATATCGCTCGACTCTCTTAATACGTGGCTTGAGGAACATAATCTTAAATTATCACCTACAAAAAGTAGAGTTGTCATATTTTCCAGAAGACGCTCAATACCTGGTTGTGCTCTTGAAATTGCTGGTATCCCTATCCCAACAAACAATAAGGTGAAATTCCTTGGTGCGTACTTGGATTCAAGGCTGACAGGTGTTCCCCACTTAGAATATATAATAGCCAAATGTGAAAAAAATATTAACATCCTTAGAGCTCTAACTGGCGTCTGGTGGGGTGCTCATCCGTATAGTCTAAAGCTTGTATACAATGCACTGATAAGAAGCGTTATGGACTACGCAATTTTTATACTCTTACCATGTAATAAAATGGCTATACATAAGTTAGAAGGCATTCAGTCAAGGTGCCTGCGTATAATAACAGGATGCATGAGATCATCTCCTCGTAATGCCCTTCAGGTAGAATGTGTAGACCCCCCTATTCTATTGCGTCAGCAATATCTATCTGACAGATTCTTATATAAAGCATTTTATATCAGCAGTCATCCCATACTAACATCTGTAAAGGAACTGAGTGATCTCTCTCCTGTTAATGTTCCACCGATTATCAAAAGTTTTCGTAGACTGAAAGAACTGATGGAACATGCGCCTATGAACAGGGTAACTAAGTGGCCGTTATATAAATATAGTTATGGCTCATTAATATTTCAACCGAACGTAATATTAGAGACTGGCATACATAAAAATACAATCGAAGCAAATTTGGAATTTAACATTTATGTTGAAAATTACTGGAAATATCATCACCGCTTTTTTACAGATGCCTCTAAATTATCAAGTACAGATTGCACAGGATTTTCTGTGTATTACCAAAACTCAAAAATAGCTATGCAGTATCAGTGTCCTCCGATATGTTCGGTCTATACAGGAGAATGTTTAGCAGTACTAGAGGCGTGTCACTTTATCGAGGCACACAATATTCATAAAAGTGTCATATTTTCGGATGCTTTGAGTTGTATGCAATCCCTTAGAGGGAATCAGTTTAAAAGCAGATCCCGAAGTACCATCATATTGGACATCAAAGCTAAAATAAAACAATGTGCAGATAGGGGGATAGAGATTGCTTTAATTTGGATTCCTGCTCACAGTGGAATTATAGGCAATGAGTGTGCAGACTCACTAGCAAAATTTGCAGCTAGCTATGGTGGAGATAGAAAGTACTACCAAATAGATTGTAGTGATATTATAGCCTACCCTATAAAAGACCTCCGTGATGCTTGGACAAATAGTTGGAAAGATTCCTCAAAAGTTACTGGTCGATTTTACTATTTTATTCAACCAAACATACCTGTAAAGCCTTGGTTCGCCAAATATAAAAAATTGCCGAAAAATATTGTTTCTATATTATGTAGATTGCGCATAGGGCATTGTTGCTCACCAGTATTTTTGCATAAACTTAGAATCAGAGATAACTCCCTTTGTGAATGTGGATATGAGGAGGGAGATTTAAACCATATTTTCTTCTCTTGCCCACTAAACCGCTCCAATTTAGTGTATCCACAGCTTATTAAAGAAAAAATTCCCCTGCCAGTCAACTTAGCGAATATTTTAAAAATTTCCTTTGAAAATCCTAATGTTTTATGGATAATTGTAAATTTCATTAAAAGTAATAACATTAAAATCTAAATATGTATTAATTAAATAAATTGTAACCTACTTACAAAATATATCTACCTATATATTATATATGTACTCTATTAACTACTAACCAAATTTGTGTTGTCCTTTCCAGTTTCTACACCAGAAAGACTAAAATTACTTAGTCTTTTGGATATACTTTTTGTCTCCAGTGCGTGCCTCTGATACATGACGCTGGCATAAATGGTCGTAAAAATAACGACCGATTGCCATAGAAGAAAAGAAGAAGAAGATGTTTGTAAATTTATTGTATAATGTATTTCTTTGGAAATTAACAAAATAATTTTTGTATCTTTCTATACTGTCTTAGTCTAAAAAATATTAACTAATTAAATTTATGTAAAATGTCGACTTCGACAGTGTTGAGAGTAAAACGTCGATTAGAAGACAATCCTCAAGATGCACTGGTTATCATGTGTAAACGCATCAAAACAGCAACAGAAGAGCTGTCACCCTCTTTATTTGTATTTAGAGGGACTGTTGATACTCAGGTACTCATTTTATATATTTGCAATTTATTTACCACATGCTTTGTTAATTGATAACATATTTATTATCGTATCTCATGCTTATAACCTCAATGAATTATTAAAACAAACTCATCATTCACCAAGAGCTTATATGAATTTGTTAATTTAGCTCATGTCTTTTTTTTTTAATTTATTTCTTTATAACACATTTGTTGAAAACATGCTATTTTAGACTACTAGTATTAAAAGCATTGTAAGTTTTACGCGCCAATTTTTTGTACATTCATATTTGGAGTGGTATTATTTCGGCGCGTTGTTTCCAATCCATGTGTTGTTAGTTGTAGACATAACCACACCAAATAACTGTATATAAAATTGATATTATTAAAATTAACAGGAAAAAATTAATGTCAAAGATATAACACCAAAAAGTGAAGTAAAATTAAAACCAACACATGATGTTAATGAAATCATAGACAAAATTAGACGAGAAAGAAAAGATGTGTCAAGCCAGAGTCGGTACGAAGTGGTGAACTGTAGTAGAGGATTGAGAGAAAATGATAATGATGACAGTGATCAACTCTACCATTTGGTTGATTTAGAAAAGGCAGACACTAAGGAAAATAATGTTAAATATGCATATGATTTATATATAGCAGCTAAACAAGATTTTGATGTTACCATGTTGGATAATATAGTTAGGTAAGTGTTAAGAGTGTTTATGATTGAAGTCTATGTATTCTAAGAGAAATAATTTTCATTATCTATGGATTATTAGCTGTATTCCATGGAGCTGCCTACTTAAATAAATTAATAATATAAAATTGTATGTTATAAGTAATATTAAATACTGATAATTTATTAAAATAATAGATTTGTTATGTTTACTTGCCCTGTCAGGGTGCATATTGAAATATACTAATTATAAAACTCATGGAATGTGTTAAATCATGAATTGAATTTGAATTTTAAATTTGGTTAAAATGTATCATATTTGTTAATAAAATTTGGTAGACACAAGATAAAGTAGATATGTTCTATATGTATAACAAATTTTATTTGAAACTGTTCAGTAATTTTATATGAAAGAGTAATGAAAGATACATCTTCATAAAACCCATTCTGACTCCTTGATGACTCTCACTAGTTATGTAAAAAGTAAATACAATAACAATTACAAATAACAAGCTAAAAATTTCATGTGGGTGAAACTGTGGACACCAATAGTTATAAATAATCCCCTACTCGCAATCTTATTTCCAGTATAGAAGATTACGAAACAGCTTTAATATTTGGTTCCCACCGTGACAATGGACGACGCAGTCCATCCACTGATAATGATGATGAAGATGACTCAAATGATGAGAATAACTGGCGGAATGACTATCCAGATTCGGAGCCGAGTAGTATAGACGAAGAAGATATGGTGAGAGCAGTGGAGAGGTGTACTTTAGGTAAATTAGCTTAGGTATTTTGCGTATCATACTATATAATCTTTAGATTTTTTTTATGGATGATAATGGAATGGTATACCCGCCTGCGCTACGCTATACGCTGGTGGAATCTTTAGATTTTAGGGGACGAGGATTCTTAGTAATGTGGACTAATGATCCTATTTTTTTATGGATGATAATGGAATGTTGTATCCGGCTGCGTTAACGGTTTACACTGGTGGGGCACCAGTGGAAGATGATAAAACGAACATGAGGTCAGGTCAGTTAGCCCATCATGACAAATTTACCAGGAATTTATCACGATGGTTTCCAGGGGGAACCGCGTGGAGGTCAATCTGACATGGTACATTGCTAGTAAGGGGTCATGACTCCACATTACTAACAATTCCCTTCTCTCCAAATGATCCTATTGTTAGCAATGAAATAGATTGCTATTTCATTGCTAACAATAGGATCATTTGGCCTGGCCAGGCCATTGGGCCTGGTATGGTGCATACCAGGTACTCTATGCAGTTTCTCCTGGAAATCCGGTGAATAAATTACAATGGGATAACAGAACTGGCCTCTTGCTTATTTTATCATCCTCAACTTGTGACCCGCCAGCGTAAACCGTTAGCCCAGACCTATGCTAAATGTTTAGATATTATAAAAATTGAACTGTCTATATATTCAAAATATGTGAGAAAAACTATCATTTTTTTTTTATTATAAAATTTTATAGGAGATTTTATAAATTAAATAGATGCAAAATACAATTATTAAAATCAAAATCAACATATCTTTATTCCTGTAGGTCTATTAAAGACACAGTACTGTCAGTTCGAAATGTAGTTTCGATCTTAGAAGTCAATTCTTCTTCTTCAAGAAAATAATCTCCTACTCTCTTATCTACTCTATCCTACGCCTCTGTGGTCTAGTGGTTTAGCACACCACTTTACTTCCGATGGATTCGATATTAGTATTCATGAGTATGGTTGTTTTTATCTGTCAGGTTGTTTGGTATGTATGTATATTATGTATGTATTTACAAAAAATATATATCTATTTATATCAGTTATCTAGTACCTATAACACAAGCTCTGCTTAATTTGGGACTAGATGGCGCCATGTGAATTGTTCAGGGATATCATTATTACAAATTAGTGGTAATAAGTTTCATTCACCTGTTTCAGATGACGATCTGTCTAGTGACACTGGAGAAGATAAAATATATGATGAACCACCCGATCTTTTTAAAGAGGATGTAAAAAGGTACGGAATGGCATATGCTAAATATAAAGCAAAGGTACTGTCAGAAGATCCCGATTTAATAGGCGGTAACAGTCTAGTTCATTCAGTGAAGATTACAGAATTGGACGAGAGTGGTGGCTATAGGGATGATAGTGATGATGGGTTTTATTACGGACAGGATGAAGACACAGAACAGTACAGGGAACAATATAGCAGTGATTTGTCAGATTCTGATAATTAGTCGGGTGATTACTAGTAGAAAAAAACATGGAAACTGCAAAATTTTAATTTGACCTACATATATGATTCATTAGTAACTCATAAGTGAAAATGTGACAAAAACAAGGTGTTTAATCAGGATTCCTTGGTATGCATACTCAATACGCCATATATTCTGTCTCAGCTAGCATTTATGTGCTGTTCCATCACAGGATTGAACTAGTTAGTCATAAGTGAATGTTGTTATAAAATTGTAAATATATATTTTATTGATATAACATTAATGCATTAGTTTTATTTGGAACTATTATAATAGTGTTCGAGACTTAATATACACCACCGTACGTTAGGGCATGGGGGTCAATAATTCCATTATAGCCCATTAAAAGAAATGTATAACAATAACCCAGGATCATTCACAAAACAACATCTAGTCCGAAGCTAAGCAGACCCTGTGTTATGAGTACTAGACCGCTGTTATATATTTTTTGTAATTACATAGAAAACACGTAGTTGGTCTGCGTGTTTTCTATGTAATTACAAAAAAAAACAAAACAATGTAATTACAATACAAACAATCATACTCATGAATACAAATATTTGAGGAATCAAACCCACGACCATCGTAAGTAAAATGGTGTGTTAGACCACCGAGGTCGTCAAAATAAAACATTAAATTAGCACCCTAACATAATCATTAATAAAATATTTATTGTATTCTTTGTTTTATGTTGGGAATAAAAAAAAAACAAGTGATATAATATGTGATAAATAATTTATTGTCTGGCGTATTTATACAATATCATTGTAGTTCTACCTCGGTTGAAATTCATTAATTAATATGTTTACATTCAACATTGATTTATTTGCTGTATTTATACATTTGGATTTTAGGAAACATTCATTTTTAAGCCCATTTTTTATTACTAAATAATTTCATTAATGTGTAAAGCACTGTATGTTATAGTATATTACGATATATGTGCGTTATGATCGTTATATGACACTAGACGAAATTACAGCCTGAGCTGAGTGTGTTAAATACGCACGTATAACATAATTAAGGCGTTTTTCAATACATTTCAGTTTAAATAAACTCAACTATAAAAGTGTGATGTACACTATTTTCCCGCCGTTTTACTTTTTTAAATCGGCGCGCCGCTTGCTGTCCAGCGCCGCGCAGCGGTCAGTTCGAAATTAGATATAAAAGCATGCGTTAGTGCATATAAATAAACAAAGGTTCTAGTAAAATATACTATTATGAGCTTAAAAATGAATCGACTATTGTCGCACGCAGAAATGTATAGGTAAGGAAAGTGTATTTATTTTTTACTTAGCATGGTGCTTAATTTTTAATTATATGTACTGTGGCATACTACCAATTATTATACTTTCTGTACGTTTTATATGAAAAAGCACACATTTAATTTTAATGGACAAGTATTTTTTTTTATTTCAAGCCGACCGATTGCTTAATTTTTTCTAAAATTGGGGTGGAGATTATAAGATGTAGATACTAGCGAATTTGTCATTTCAAAATAAATATAGGACACTTTTGGCTTCGAGTATTATTTACTACTTAAAAAAAAATGTTTTATTTTATAGAATTAAATGTTCCGTAATTCACGTACAAAATTTAAAGATGTTTATGAATTAAAAAATGATTGTATTTCCGAAAATATCGCAAAATTACATCATGTACAGGGTTTATCGTAAATGATTAAAGCCAACGATAGAATTCATCGAACTGGACTAACATTTCAAGAAGGAACGTACCCAAACAATTGAAATACAGTTTTAAAAACTTCACACAAACTGCACTGACAAGTGATCCAGTAACAGGAGTTCAAAATTTATTTTCAAATATACACTTTGTTTCATTAATACCTTAATTTATCATTTGCAACAAACTTGACGTTGATGAACATGAACATGAATTTGACGTTCATGAGCAGTTAAAATGTCCTATATGAATTTTTGATTTGACAATGACATTTAAAAGTCAATTACGTAACAGATTTGCAATTTCATTCCTGTACCTATACAAATCTGTTATTAAAGTTGTTATTTGTTTATTCGAGATGCCATCTTAAATATATATCTTTTTAATTGTTTTTATTTTTTTCATACAGTTGAGAACATAGACATATGGCACATCGCATCAGATATTTTTAACTGTTTCATATAGGGAATATCCGTTTTGCTAATTTTTATTGTGCTATTTTTACCACATACTTATATACCTTTACAGCTTCACCGGACAATAAGGGGCGAGATATTATTAAAATATGTAAGCGGCGTCAACAAATAGCATAATAAAAATACGCAATACGTAGACTCTTACATTAATGTCATGATTGATTTATTTATTACGTTTCTATGGTATGTACAGGTGTGAATAAAAGTGTTAACTAGTTTACATAAATTTTATCACAAACACTTGCACATACCTGTACTTACGTGTAATAAAAACGTCACAGTGGTTAGTTGGAAGATCAACATTATAATTTCCATTTGCACTTTCGTTACGGAAATTCGAGACTCATTCCAAAGACAGACAAACACAAATGAATACACAAATCGTATTATACGTAGGTAATCTACGGAATAAGTCTTGTATTCACTTAATTCTATAATTAAAGTTAGTGAGATACCTATAAATGCAAATTACGATTACACTAACAATGCTTTGGCATAGACAAAACATGGTACATATTTTGATATTATATTAAACAGCATTATTTTATTAATTAAATCCGAATATCCGATACCAATCGGTGATACTTTTGGGGAAAATATATATAATAATGCAAAGATATTTCTTATTAACAGTTTTCATACGGATATATTTAAAGTAAATCTATTCTGAGACCTGTATTAAATATACAAGAAATATTGTCATTAATAAAAGTGGCGGTACATACTTAAATATGTGGGATTTATAATAAGTACAATATAGAAATATTCTCAATAAAACGTGAATTCATATATTTCCATTAATATTATCTTGTAATTTGCTTCAGCTCAAGCTATATTTGTATTATCACAATAGCTGTTTCATATAAATAACACAGGATCATGTTAATCACATTAAAAAGTAATACCATGTTTAAAAAAAAATTGCCAATTTTACAATTGTAAAAGGATTTTTTTATACCTCTATACTTACAGATTGTACTAGAATGGGTATACCAATCCAAAGTCTAGGAATAATGCCTACATATGAAACTGGCACAAATTATGTCGCAATAAATATAGGCATTTATTTATAATATTATATTTTTATTAATCCGAAATATTTACTATATAATCTATGTTTATTGCAATAGGTTTCCGTTACACGAATTAAAAAAAAAATAGTATGCAAATTTAAAGATGTTTTTTGACTGATTGTTATACAGGTACTTTCTTTTACGAATCATTAGCTAGAATTTATAACATATTATGTCAGGAAATTCCTAGATGCAGATTAATAAAGTGTAGTTATTTTAAAATCACAATACTCTGAAATTAAAAAAAAATATCGAAACACCACTGGCAGGTAAAACTTCGATACAGGAATGAGCATTGTACAGCTTTGCAAGACGTACCTAGTAAAAATTCACCTATGAATAATAATTAATATTAAACAAAATTAACAACAAACTAAGAACGATTCAAATGGTAATAAAATTTAGTTACAATGTAATAATATCTTTACATATATTTACAATTTGGTAGTTTTAACGTATAGGTACTTACTAATACAAAGACAAAGGTTAACTTTTTATATCTACTAGTAAATTTACACAACAAGTTTTGTAACAAAATTGTAATAGTAAACGGGATCGCATACAAGTATAGCCAAGTTATATCAACTCGTTCATTCATTCGATTGACACATTCGTTCTATCAACACTTTCGTTCATTCACAATGAAATTTTGAAACGTCAATTTGGCTTGATATGAAGTACGATATATGTATCGTAATAATTTTTTATCGTTTATTGCACATAATTTGATTAATAATCCAAAATGAGAGGATACATTTATTAATCTAAGTTTATAATTACAATGCTCTGGAAGCAACTGAAGCGATAGAATGCTATATCTCTAAGAGTTCGGAACGTCAAAATTAGTCTTTTCCTTTTTGACTGGTCGAATGTCTTTTCCTTTTTGAATCGTCACTTGGGACTTCACACCACCGGTGAGTTGGTTACTCTGGTGGGCTGTGGTGGAGGCACGTTATTGTTCGCAGCGGCCTCTTGGTTGTTCGCCGTGCAGTAGAATTGCTTGTGTGCTTTATACGTGTTCACATATTTGAATGATATGTCACAAGATTTACAGTAATTAGGCGTCTCTTCCATTTCTGCGTCGGGCTCCTTCTTTATGTCGACGGGGATGGGCGATGTTTGCTCCTCTTGTTCTGGCTCGTCGAGGGCGTGCACGAGGCGCCCGTGGCGGACCACGTTGCCCCTGTAAGTGGAGGTGTAGGCGCAGCTTCCGCAACGGTGGATGCGTTCCCCGCCAGCGGCAGGGCTGGGCGACGTCGCCTCTCGACTGTCCTCTTCTAAAACGCACGCAATGTAGCTTTCCTCCTGTAATTGTAGATTGTATGTTGTAGTGATTTAGGTTTAAAATCTGTTTCAATACGTTTTATATTTATTTAAGTACGTTGCAATTTTTTTACTGAATGTAAGGTGTTCATTTATTTGGTTTTTGATATTAGATAAATATCAATTTTGAATCGAGACAAAAAAAGAGTTTGATACGAAAATTATATGGTATGATGATTCGATTTTATCATATATCTAAGTACTAACAAGGTCTTTCTAAACTACGGTCATAGGTGCAATGAAAATAAGAAAAATAGGAACACAAAAGGTTAATTATCACTATGACTATTAATAAACCTAAATGCTCACGCATAGTGCAATGCAGGTTAAGTTTTGAAATGAGGTAACTAACAAAAACTACTGCATTTTTTTATGCATCGTGATGCAGGCTTATAATATTGGTATGGATTCTGCCTTATCTACTGAGAATGAAATTTGTTAAACAATAACTCACCTGTAGTTCGGCTGGTTTTTTGTTGTTAAAATGCATGCGAATGTGCGTCCGCATTCCACGAAGAGTGTTCCCTCTATATCGGCAAATGGTACAGCGGAAGGCCTTCACGCCAGCGTGGGCCTCCATATGACGCTGGGCTGCGGCAGCAGTTGGCGATACCACATCACAGCAAGGACACTTCCATCCACCTTCAGACGCCGACGCTGGTCTCGGCGCTTCAGGAATGCTCCGGGGCGACCGAGTTTCCCTTTTAGGGCAGTAATAAGATTGATGCGTCGTCAAATTATCCAGTGAGCTAAAGTGTATTCCACACGCTAAGCAGATCAATTGGCGATACTGTGGTGGCGGACCAGGTTCTGGTGGTGCCGGACTCGATCGTTCCTCCCCTCCGCCAGAGGAACAGTAATGCCGTTTGTGTATGCGATAATTTTCATATTTGCAAAACACTATATTACACTCTTTGCACTTTGATACACCCTGTTTGACTATAACTTGCGGTGAGGCAGTTGTTACCGGGAGATCACTTGCCAATCGCAATGCTAGCGCTGGTAAAATTGGCGCTGTTACTGTTGGGGTGAACTTCTCTTCTGCAGGTGAGGGCACATTTAGTGGTTTAGGTGTAGGGTCTCTGGAGTTACGCCGTCGTCTTTTCGGCGAACTTTCTACACTCGGTGATGATGACCGTCTTGACGGTGACGGTGTTCTTGGTGATCCTGGTAATGATGGAGCACAAACTATTTGTTCAGGAGTCGCTGAACGTATTCTATTTTCTTTTTCATGTTCGTCAGTTGTCACAGACTCCGGAGAACGTCGTACACTAAGATCTAATGGAGTAGCGCCGTCTCTTGACGGTTCACGCGGCCTATTTGCAGACTTTAATACTTCGTTTTCCTTACCATCTGTATTTATATTTGACAACGCTCGACTAAGCGGTTGAAATGTTCCATTTGGCAATAAAAAACAGGGCGTATCGGGATCAGGTAAAGTCGCTCCAGGGAGAGTGCTCGCGCTTCGTAATAATGAATACGGCACTATGAGAATTGGATTAGTGGGTAAAGCAAGTGCGTACTGATTCTGCGCTGGAGGTGTGGCTCCAGGTGATGGAGGAGTTGACCCTGACGTGGCTGACCCACCTCGTGTCATTGCCAAAGCCTGTTTCACTACTTGTCTAGTGCTACAGTAATGTGCTTTATGAGCACGATATGTCTTTATGGAACTAAAGCGTATATCGCAGTCTGCGCAGTAACGATCTTGTACAGGTGGACCGTCGGTACTTTCGCCATTTAGCGTAGGCGTCGGTACTGGTGTCCCACTACTAACGGGGGAGGATGAATGCATTCGCATATGTCGGTTGAGGCTGACCTTTTTATCCGCACTATATGAACAGTATGTACAGGCGTATAATTTTGTGCCTGGTGGGCGTGGTGTCTTTGCATCACTACTAGATTCATCTGCGGCTGGATCAGTTGATCCCTCAGTCCCTTCAACTGGTTTAGGTCTTCTATTAGAACAGTAATGTTCCTGATGTGCTTGTAAAGTGCTCAGGGAAGAATAACGAATGCCGCATGGTTTGCACATATACCCAGGAGGGCCAGTAGGAAATAATGAGGGAAAATTCGCTGTTAAAGCGAGATAGTCTCTCGCTTGCGGTACAGGTGGTGGTGGAGGTGACGGCGAAGGCGGTTCACGTTTCAATGGCGCCGCTTGTGGCGCAAGCGCCGGATCAGTAGCAAGGCTCGTATTGAGCCGCAATCGTGGCGGAGAAGCTGCAGGAGATCCACCCGAAGCTGGCGAAGCACCCCCGCTGGACGCTGCTCTCTCGCCCCCTGAACTCGGCGTACGAGGTTCTCCCGGCATTGCCTCGCTCTCGTTTCCCCATTCCTCGTCCTCACCTGAAATAATAATAATAATTTATTAATGGAGCGTACACCGAACTAATTATGCAAGTAAAGGAAAAAGGATCACAGCCAATATCGCATCCTATTAGTGTTGTTAATAGTAGTGCGATGCAAAGTTGGCAGGAGTTTCTCGCGATAGTCGTCACTCGTCACGTTTCGCTCGCTATCTGTCGACGTCAGTCAGATCGAGCCTCTGCAAGTCGAGGCATACATTAGCGCTCCTAATTGAGACGTGCCCGAGCTATGTAAATGTCGCCGCGTGGGTGGGGCATAGGATATCGACTTAATAAAATGTGGATAAGGTTACTTAGTTGCCATATTTTGAGGGATTCCCATGATCCGTCAATACGAACCGGTTGATACAATACTCGTCCATCAATATCGCGAACGTGAGCCGGCCCGAGGCCAAACAGAACAAAAAGTTAACGGGCCCTTCATGTAATTGGATCTGATTTCCAGAAAACGGTCGCTCACCTTCCTTTTTGAGCGACAACGATCTCAACCCAGCGAGGAATTAACCTATCTTTCGCGCTGCGATCTCGACTCAAAACGCCAATTAATGAGAGGCTCAACTTCATTCTCCTGGCCCTGTGAAGATCATTATATGGGCACGACAGCGAGATGGACGCGACGATTGGTGCCCGCGCGCAGACCGCCATCTCGCGGTAACGAATACGACTTAAATTGAATTGCGTTCGGGTCACGCTATCCTAGTGCCCGTGCTGCGTGATTGGTCATTACGATGTAGCGGTGACGTGCGATTGGTCAGACTAATGTGGTTTTATCTGGCAACTTAATGTTAGCGTCATACTAAGCCCGGTTTATCGTCGTTCGTTAGAGCTGCAGCTACTGTTTCGCTAAATAAGTTATAAGCTTGTGATTGTTGGCCGGCAAAAGGTTGAACGTGCAATCAGATAGATGGCGTGACTCGGTGTCGTTTATGTGGCGTTCGCGAAACTGAACGTCGATTCGTTAAATGATAATCATCTGTACCCTTTTGTCTTTATAAACATGTCAAATAATGGCGATTTTACACAACGGTGGAGACATGCAATTCATATTCTTGTTTTGCATGTGTACCTAGTCAGTGCCCGCATTGTCTTGACTAGAAATTTGCAGAGATGCATATGTCGCATTGTTATATTCGCTTTGACTGCAAAAGGAGTGTGTTCATGAAGTTACATTCAACTGCTACCTATTATAATGAGTACAGCTCTTTAGATGTATAATACATATTGCGTCATCTTTGATAAACTGAAATTGTATTTAACAGAATATAAAATTACATAGCTATCACAAGATCAGAGCCACAATTGGACAACAGTCAATACGTGAGTAAGTTATATAAAAACGCCATTAAAATACCATTCAGTAGAATCAATAACACGACGGACAAGCGTCAAACACGTGCCTACACACTCACGAGGAGAAACAAAGCGGCCATCTTGTTTGACCGTTATCATATGGAAGATCGGGGCCCAATTAAAATAGTCGTGCATCGGTCGCGTCACAATCGCTCTGATACGCATCTTTGGCTGTGACGCCCGTGAGCGATCACCTAGTACTCATTGCGCCAACCCTGGGACGTGATCTCGATCGTTCTCATCGCACATGTATCTCAGTTTCAAATTATTGCCAATAGGTCCTCAATTTCTCTTTTTTATTACGTCTTTGGGTGCATGTTACACGATTTCAAAAGTATCTTTTTTAAAAAGTTTTTTCTTAAAGAGTATTTTTTTTTTGTAATTCTTGGAATGTTTTAATTTTTATTTTTGTGTTTGTGTTTTATTGTATAAGTTCATTTTATATTAAGTTGATTGTAATTATGAGTGTCGTGTATTTAAGCCTAAAAAATACAAATTCATTTCATTTCCTCAATTCGATTTGACGATTTTTTTTGTTGAAATCAATAATGTGTTTGACCGGTAAATAAGGTCTTAAAATAAATTAAATCGGAAAATTGTTACTTAACTTTCGTATGCGGTACAAAATTGCTTTTCTATAGGAAAAACGGATGCCAGAAACATTGTCCATTTATCCGAATATGCCGGTGATAGAAAACACTTTTAATAATGAATGAGTGGGACGTTTGCAGGCAATCTCGTTTTCTGACTACACCTGGATTATTATCTTACTACTCGTTCTCAGACCACCACTTAGACTTGTAGCGTCTATCTGTATTTATACATAATTACTACATTTTATATTTACAATATTGGTAATTACAAGATACTCGATCGGAAACTGTGGAATAAATCGAGAAATCTTGATAGTGGCTATCCAGGTAACCGAGATACGCCTTGAAATAAGACGATTGTCTGATATGTTTGGTCGAGATAAAAAATGAATTCACTCATTGAATAATAAAACATAATTGGTGGATGCCCTGTTTATGTGGCATGAGTATATCTCGTTGATTCTTATTTATCATGATTTTAGACTGTAATTAAAGTACAGTTTTGAAGTGATTCTATAAGGGGCGTTTTAGATTTTTGGTCCTCGGAGTTTCCATCACCGGAGAACTAGTCAGTGATATAAATTATCTCTAAAAATTTTTGGCAAGGGCAGCGTTTTCACGGTTTGAATTCAAGACTTTTCAGGAAAATGTAATTTAAGTAGTAAACCATTACACCAAGACGCTGTAAGAAAAATGAAAAATGATAAAATTATGGCAACTTTAATTAATCTTTACACTGAACGTATGTACAATGGTAATAATAATATCCCTGAATAATTCACAGCGCCATCTAGTGCCACTCTAATCAGTCTTGAGTCTACACAATCGATAGAATTTTTAGACACATATCTTTTGTAAATACATTTATGTATGTATTTACAAAAGAAATGTGTCTAATAATTTCTATCATACATATACATAGAAAACATACAGACCAATACAAACAATCTTACAGATGAGTTCAGGTTTATACAATATAGAAAACACCCATTCCGTTACAGACCATCATACATATGAATACAAATGTGTGTATCGTGCGAGGAATCGAACTTGCGATCATCGGAAGTAAAGCGGTGTGCTAAACCACTGAACAACCGACCGTTTATTATAGGTGTCTAGTTTAAACCTTATAGGTACCTAGTTAATTGCGTGAGTCGTTACAAAATAACTCGTTACAGAGTTAATAGCTATAGAAATATATGTAAATGCCCCATTAGCTTCGATCTGGGACCTTGAGCGTTTATTGCGTACATATGTGTAAATAAATATTTTATATACTTAGTATTTCATAAAGGCTAGATTACCTTCAACTTCGATTAAGATCTGGCCATTTTTTTATTGATGATAATGGAATGATGCTCCCGCGTGCGCTAACGGTTTACTCTGGCGGAGCATCAGTGATAGATGAAAAAATGAGCATAAATGTAGGTCAGTTATATAAAGATATACATATATACTAGCTGTCCAGGCAAACGTTGTTTTGCCTTAAAATAAAAAAAAAAATTAGTGGTGGACTACCCCTAACATTTAGGGGGATGAAAAATAGATGTTGGCCGATTCTCAGACTTACTCAATACGCTCACAAAATTTCATGAGAATCAGTCAAGCCGTTTCGGAGGAGTATGGGAACGAGAACTGTGACACGAGAATTTTATATATAAGATATGTTTAAACCTGGCCGAGATTTTAAGGGATGATTGTTAGATTTAAAATATATTGTTGAAATAAAAATGCAATGTTGCCATAATCTCTATTAATTTGATTTCTTTCTTTTTTCAACTTTTTTTTTTATTATGTTTTACGGACATGGCAACGCACTTGCACACGCTGCCAGTTACAATTCAGTTTTTATATAGAATTGTACAATATATAACTTAACACTTTGAATTAGAAATTACTTTTATCAGTTGTCTAATCTCTATAACACGAAGCTTTGGTTAGCCTGTGCTGTACTTAAAATAAACTAATTAATCTATATGTAGTGAATGCAAGACTTGAAATGCCCATTATTAATTACATTATTCAATAATTATTATAATTTAATAGTGCCTATTTAATTTGGTTATGAATGTTTTCTTTACCAGAGTCTCTCAGAAATATAGATAAATTAACATATGTTTTAGGTATCAGTCAGACTCGAATTCAGGATCTTTTGCTATAGTAATAACTAAATCATGATACTCTTAATGTACAATAATATAAAATACATTGTAATTAAACATAGGTAATGCAAACACTGTACCTAGTATAAGAGTACTTTCAAGTTACAACATTCAACAGGTCTGACCTCATATGTGGAATCCGTATTAAACTGGCAACTATGTATGTTTACTACCATATTCAACCATCTCTTAAAACAACTTTATCTTTACAACACAAGAAAAATTATCTATACACTGTCAACTTAACGTCACTGTAGTGTGGGCGCCATTAGTGCAGTGTTGCCAGTGTAGAAATAAAAAAAATACCGTTGAAGATATAAGTACAGAAATACAAAGAGGTGAGTGACAAAGACGACGTCGATTATCGATGTAGGATCTTGATTTATTTAAGTTTGTTCTGCCGTGGAGTTTTGTTCATCTATCATACGTTTCGACGACGCTACTATTGGTTAAATGTGTGGGAAATATGAGTGCGATTATCATCTTTTTCACATGGTAACACAGTTTATTATAGCTTGAATGTAATATCATATGGTATGCAGGCATTGAAGCTTTTTATTCTTGATAATATCGAAAAGGTGTTTAATAAGAGGCAATATTGACTCGGCTGGGCTTCTAGAAATTGTTCTAATGTCATGACTTATATTAAGTGTCGTCATTATGAAGGTAAAGGTCATAAGTAGGGCGGTAATTTAAAACTGTAACCAATTAACATGTTGAAATATTGCTGTGTTAATTATGTACTTTATATTCCAAATTCAGATAAGTTTTATTGGAATCGACGACGGCTATGGTGGTCTAGGGGTTAGCACACCGCTTTACTTCCAATGGTCGCGCGTTCGATTCCTCGCATGGTGCAAATATTTGTGTTCATG